TGTTGTCCAGGCTGGTCTCAAACTCCTGACCTCAAGTGATCCGCCTGCTTTCGCCTCCCAAAGTGGTAGGATTACAGGTGTGAGCCACCATGCCTGGCCAGAAACACATTTTCTGTACTAAGGCTGCTGCACAGTTGTAAGGTTTGACTGACTACTATTGTTTATACTCTAAGGAGGCTGCTTAACATTATGTGGTAAAGAGGTTACTGTCATGAGGCTCTCTGTCTCCAACATCAGTAAGTCTAGGTTAGAATGAAGGATAGGGAGTCCAGTTAAGGTAGAACATCTCCATCTGGTTTTTCACAACCCTTGAGAAGGTCAGTCAGCAAGGGTTGTGCAAAAACAGCCGTGTTATGTGAGTCTGTTTTCAGAGCTTCACTTTTTCCCTTGGCATAATAAACCTCAAAGGTCCTAACATTTTATTTTCTTTTTACAATCCCTTTGCTTCAGCCATTAGTAAGTTTAGAGCATGATTTCTATTGCACCTTGAGGACCTTGGAACGGGCTTCCCCTGAGGCTGGATAAGCCCCTGACCTAACCAGTCTCTTTCTCTTATTTTATCCTCAGCTCACTTCTTTCTCTTTGGTTTCTTTGTTTTATGTGATATTTAAGTACGTTTCTTCAATTCTTTGTGCACTGAGATAAAGTATAAAAATTTAAACTGAAAAAAACCTCTACCATGTCGTCCCTACTTATTATTTAGCTCTGACTTTTTCCCTCCAGCCTCCCTGTCTCCCTTTGCTGAACTACCTAAAGTTATGTGAGTGTTTTCCTTCCTTACTCCCCATTCCTGAGAGTGTCTCTCTACTGCACTCACAGCTGACTTGGCTCAGGATACAATTTCTAGATCCATTTTCCCTCTTAAAAAATATAAATGCTGTTCCATTTTCTTATAGTTTATAGTGTTGAAGAAGTTTTATACCAGCCTGGTTTTTCTTCTTTAGTAGTTGTTTTCTGCTATATTGCTTGTATGTTTTTATGTTTATTCTTTTATTTATTTTTTTTTTTTGAGATGGAATCTCACTCTGTTGCCCAGGCTGGAGTGCAGTGGTGCAATCTTGGCTAATTGTAACCTCTGCCTCCTGGGTTCAAGCAATTCTCCCACCTCAGCCTCCCAAGTAGCTGGGATTACAGGCATGTGCCACCACGCCTGGCTAATTTTTGTATTTTTAGTAGAGACAGGGGTTTCACCTATTGGCCAGGTTGATCTCAAACTCCTGACCTCAGGTGATCTACCCACCTCGGCCTCCCAAAGTGTTGGGATAACAGGCATGAACCACTACTCCCGGCTTGTTTATTCTTATACTTAAATAATTTCATCTGGATACCTCTGGCCCTGTTAATTTTGCCTGGCAGACCCAGTAAGATTTTTATTGTGAAGACTCAAATCTTTCTTTATCTCAGGGAAGATTTATTCTGTTGATGTTTTGATGACTGTATCTCCTATGAGTGGGATATTCTCTTCTGAAAGGCCTGTAACTGACATAATGAATCTCCAGGGTTCTCCAAGGCTCCTCCAGCAATGGCTTCAGCCAGGTGTGGTGCAGCTGTACCAAGATTTTCCCTCCTCGGTGGCGTGGGTTAAAGTGGGGGGGGCACAACCCCATGTGTCCCCTGCTGCCATGCTCTGCCTGCCCAATGCTGCTGGCACCAGGTCACCACACAGGGCTCCATGGGCCGGCACCCACCGAACATCGTGAGCACATTCTCTGGTTTGACAGTGGGTCACATGTTGCTGCCGGTCTTTGCCACACCCGATCATGGTGCCAGTTTCATTAGAAATGAGGACTACTGTCCATTAAGCACTTCACTGGTGGATCTTGAGACTTCTAACCTCAGCTTCCACCGTGCCTGGGAAGGCACCTCACTCTCGCTTCTGCCTGGAGAGGCTGCAACCAGAAAACAGTAAACAACACCAACAACAAACTATCCAGAGCTGGGGAAAAAACAAAAACAGCCAAACTTGAGTTCGTGTGTAAAGAGAGCTTATGATCGATGTAAACATTTTAGACCATTATCTGGTTAGAATCAGTAAAATATCAGCACTTAAGAATAAGGGGAGAATGCTGAGCAGAAGGAAGAGCAGGGAGGCTGCCGTCAGGATTTGCTTCACCAGCTCAAAACTCTGATGGAAACAGAACTCTTTTTACAGCGTTGGGTGGAAAAGTGTTGAATGCAGTAAAAAGACATCCCCACAGAAGAAACGCTTCTCACAGATTCCTCTTCGGCTTTGCTGCCCTCAGACCATCCCCAGGGACCTTTTGCTGACACTGACAGACAAGTCCAGGGTGGGTGAGTCAGGAGCAGAAGGACTCACGCTAGGAATGGACATCCCAGCCCTTTGCCCACATTTCTTTTTTTTTTTTTTCCCCGGGGAATTTTGCATCGCTGCATCTGGTGGTGCGATTTTATTACTTCTCCCTGGTACGTCATGAATCAAGGGATCAGCTTTCTCCCCCTGCCTTACCAATTCACTCTTCAGGAGCAGCTCCTTCCCTGCAGACCCCTCCTCTCACTCCCCAGGGCGCCAGGTGCTCTCTTCCCACATCACTTCCCTTGGGCCTCAGGACTTACGTTCCTTCTTCCAGTGCTTCTTCTATTTATTTTTTATTTTGAGACAGTCTTGCTGTGTCACCAGGCTGGAGTGCAGTGACGTGATCTTGGCTCACCGCAACCTCCGCCTCCTGGGTTCGAGCAATTCTCCTGCCTCAGCCTCCCGAGTAGCTGGGACTACAGGCCCACGCCACCATGCCCCGCTAATTTTTGTATTTTTAGTAGAGACAGGGTTTCACCATGTTGGCCAGGGTGGTCCTCGATGTCTTGACCTCATGAGCCGCCTGCCTCAGCCTCCCAAAGTGCTGGGATTATAGGCATGAGCCACTGCACTCAGCTCCAATACTTCTTTTACTTCTGAGCCTTAAGTCCTGCAAGAATGTGTCTAGAAACCTGCACTTCTGAGGTAGCTGTTATCTAAGGCTCTATGCCAAGACCCACAGTCAACCAACCTGAATATCAGCTAGTCTCAGAGAACCAGTAAGAGACTACCAGCTGCTAATGAGGCATTCGGAATGTCAGAGGAGGGCTATTTGCTGCGCCTCTTAAATGGCTCCCAGTGTTTTGTTTGATGGAAATGCCATTTGAAGGCAAAAATACCCCTTTCTGTTGCAGCGAAATAAACAGTTTTCATTTCAAGGCAAATGAAGTCACTTCCTAAGCATTGGTGCCCTACTTAGAAGCAATTTGCTGTATGGGAATCATAGTGAATACCTTGCAGGATTGATTTGTGGTTTTGCAATAACGTATGTAAAGTACCAATTAATACTCTCAGCTTCTCTTGAAAATGCCTGGGGAGAGAAGTAAAAGAAGCACTTGGTGTTTTAAACAGTCTAGATCAACCATTCCAAGTGCGTTTTAAACCAGTGCCAGTCTCTGCGGTGTGGGAGGCCTGTGGCTGGTCTGGGATGGGCGATCTGGACAGAGGAGTCATGGCCACTGGGCTGAGGGGCCAAGAGCAGAGTGTGGCTGAGTAGTGGGTCTGTTCTGTGTCTTAGACATTTCTGCATTCGGGAGTTATAGAAGGTGACGTGGAAGTAGTTTGCAAACCGAAGGAGGATTTGTGAGGGAGTACTGATTCAATCAAATTGTTCATCTAATAAATATTTATGCAGATCTCCTTTATGCATTGTACCAGATCTGGAAGTCTAGTGGTGAACAAGATAAAGTCCTTGGCCTCAGCATGTTAACAGGGGTCAACAGATTATTAAACAAATCATGATGCCCACAGCTTGGTGCGGGTTGAAGGGGCTGCAGAGGCAGGTGAGCTCTTGCCCAACCTGGGCATTGTGGGGCATCTCCCTGAAGAAGTGATGAGTGAAGGAGGATGAGCAGGACATGACAGCTGGAGGGGTATGGGGAACAGGGCTCCGGACAGAGGGAGGGACCCCAGATGGGGAAGGCAGGCCCAGAGAGAGAGGGAAGTGGGTACAGTCAGGCTGGGGAGGTGGAGGCCAGCAGGGCCCCTTGGCAAGTGCAGGCAATGCAAGAGCCTTGTGAGGGATGAGAAGGAAGGACTGCCGCTGGGATGTGATGGAACACACAGGGAGGAGCTTGGAGCCAGGACGAGGGGATTCACGGAGACACAGGTGTCCAGGAAGGGTAGGAAGGGTGGCACTTTCATTTGCTGTGTCTGCAGGACAAACTTGGAGGTTGAGTAGGAATTGATGGATTTTGTCTGGAGCTTGGGATGTGGGTATGAGTTAGAGTTTGGGAGACAAGGGGAGAGGGGCCTCCTGAAGTGTGGGATGGGGGCGTCTTAGAGTGAGAAAAACAGAGTGGGGTCCCCAGGAAGCATCTGCATGACATATAAGGTTCTGCAATGCCCAGGCCAGCAGTCTGCTCCAGAGCCTGAGAGAGAAGTTTTGGGCGTTAGAGTCTCAGGATGACCTGGGACGTGCTGACCCTCAAGCCCTGCCCACCACCCTTCAGGGCCAGGAGTCTTCTTTTCTGCCCGAGGGCCGAATCCTCTGGCCAATAATACAGGCTGCTATTCATAGTCTGCTCTGTAAATTCCCTTCATCCCTAATTCATTACTTAGCAAGCAGCTCTTGAAAGCCCCTCAGGTGTAGTGCGTTGTGAGGCATGTGGTACAGACTGTCCTTTCAGAGCTCTCGGTCGGGTGGGGCCATGCCCTCAGCCACTGCACAGAGGGAGTACCCAGAAGGGGATCCTGGCTCAGAAGTGAGGGGCCAGGGAAGATGTGCTGAGTGAGGGGTGGAAATGCCACCTGGGTCTTGTAGGGTGAAGAGGAATTAGGGGCAGGGGCACGATGACCCTCGTGGGCTGAATGGAGCGTGGCACATTGCACGTGGCACATTGCACGTGGCACATTGCACGTGGCAAAGGGGAGAGGTTGCAGAGAAAGAGGCGTGGGGGTGAAGCTTTGAAGGAAGCCCTTTTACGGTTTGTAACCCAAACTTATCCGCCTCCACCCATCTTCGCAGAAGAGATGTCCTTTGGGGGAACCAGATTCAGCATGAGGAGCAGAAGGAACGGCACTCTGGACAGCACCCGGACCCTGTACTCCAGCGCGTCTCGGAGCATAGACTTGTCTTACAGTGAAAGTGTAAGTCATGCGCACCACCTGTTCGAAAGGTTATCACTGTAGCATTCATAAGGCATTAAATCATGCATTTGCAAATGGACTTTAAGGAAATTTTAGATGCCATGTCTTTACAATTTCACTACTTAATGCTCAGTGCTCTTGCTTCTGGTCTGAGTTTTGAATCTCAGTCCCTTCTCCAGCTCTATGGCCAGGGTCTCAGTTTGGGTCCATCTGCATTTGTTCTTGCAATGGCCTCCTCGCTTCATTCCTTGGCACTGCCTCTCCTGGTTCCAAGCCAGCTTCTATGCTGCCTTCAGGACACAGACGTGCCCAGTCATGGCTTCTTGGGTGAGCTGGACTTGGGGTTGGGTGCCAGTGGGAGGCGTGTCCTTAGCACCTCTCTGCCTCTCCCTGCCTGGCTTTGCCAGCACTAGGCGGAATTTCCTTCCACAGGTTTTCCGCTCGCTCTCCGATCCTGTCCAACACACTCATTTGTCAAGAACTTAAGACAAGTTTCCAGTCTGAAATCCAGTTCTCCTGGGCTACAGTGTTACAATTTGGGAGAGCGGCTAGCTTTGGAAAAAAAGGAAGGAAGTAGGAATTGGTGGTTGGGGAGGGCGGTTTTGGGGTGTTGTTTAGGATTTTGATTTCACTCGTGGGTTCCATGGGGGCTGACTTTGTGATCTATCATTGAGCTGTAAGAAAACACACACACAAACAAACACGCAAAAACCTGCTCTTCCCCAGCTGGGCTCTGTCTCCCAGGGCCAGGACTAGACAAATGAGCCTCCCCTGATGCGAAAGTGAAGGAGGTGCCAGCCCTCAGGGGCTGCCCCGACACTTGCATGCCCAGGTGGTGGGGGACTGAGCACCTCCTTTCAGTTGCTCCCCAGTCTCACCTCAGTTGTGGTCATGGGAGAAGCAAACAGTGGGCCAAGGGAGGTGGCAGCTTTTCCGGTATTTTCCCTTTTGCTCTCCTCCTTCAAGCCCAGTGATGAAGCATCTCTGGGAGGGCCCTTCTGGAGGGGTCCCCCTGGCCTCAGCGCCGGAGCCCTGGGAGATGGACAGAGGCTGATTCTTTCTTGTGTCTGCTCCTGTGACCTCCTGCTGGATGGGTCTCCTCTCCTCAGCCCCTGCGGGTCACCCTCTCCCAGATGCAGGCATCCCTGTGGGTAGATCTGCTGAGACCACGCAAGAGTGTCTCAGTTCTGGGGGAGGTCATTTTTGCCCCCTGAGCACATGCACACCTCTGCGAAGTACACTCTCAGAGGGTTTTTTTTTTAAGCCACAAAGTAATTTTTAAGAAATCATCACCCTTCCGTCATGATCATTGGTTATACAGCTTACATAGCGGTTTCCTTCATTCCTGTTAAGTAGATTTGAAATTACTTAAGTCGATAAAAAAGTTACAGGAAAAATGGGCATCATGGATTTTCAAAACCGTCGTGTGGAGGTGAGCATTGAATTTGCTTTTGCTTTCAACATGTTCGTATTGAAAGATACATAGAAAAGGATGTATATATGTTAATTTCCAGCTTAAAAAGAATATTGAAATGAATGTTCTTGTGCCCACCACCAGCTTGAGAAATAGCATATTACCCCCATAAGCCTGATGAGTTGGCTTTCCTCTCTCCTGTCAGAGGTTATAACCACTATCCTGAGTTTTGTGTTACCCATTCCTTGATTTTATTTGTAATTTTATGACTTGAGTATGTGTATCTCTCTAAACAATACATTATTTAGTTTTGTTCTGTTTTTGACATACATGGAATTGTATGGTAAGTATTTTTTGTGAGTTCCTTTTTTCTTTTTCTTTTCTTTTTTTTTTTTTTTTTTGCTCAAAACTGTTTTTGAGATTCATCCACAGTGAGACATGTAACCATTGTTGATTTATTTCATGGCTGTGCTGCACCCCACTGTGTGCTTATGTTTATTTATTCAGCCTAAGACAGATGGCATTTGGGCTTCTGGTCTTTACTATTACAAGCAATACCACTTTTAACATTCCTAGATATGTAAGCCATGTCTACCTGGAAAATGTTCATTGAGTTGAGGCTTGGTGTGGGTGTAGGTAAACATCTGTCTTTCATGGGGTCTGGGTTAAGACACAGGACTTATGGGGAAACTTATGTTCAAAGGTTTGGGAAGATAAGGCACATGGTCACCCTTCTCTGATATCTCAAGACTTGCAGAGGCAGAGGATGAGAAGGGAAGAGGGCACATAGTGAACTTCATTCCAGGAGAGGAGACTTCCTTCTTTGCAGTGTATGGCTGGTGACAGCCTTGCTGGTGGGGATAGGAAGTTAGGGGTGGCTCCAGTGCCAGTGGTCTGTCTTATGAGGCCAATTGTGTGTGAGGTTATCTGAGAACTCCAGCTGCCCGTACCTGGTGGCCTGAGGGAAGTGGCATTGGGCTGCCGGGAAAAGAAAGCTCCCAGCAGTCTCACCTTTCCAGGGCAAGGCAGCCGCGTGAGGCTGAAAATTTATTGCCAGGCAGCTTTGCCAGGCAGCTTTGCCAGGCACTCTGAGTATGCAGGTCATTCATGGGACAATCCTGCCTTTCTCCACAAAGGACTCTTCCTCAGGGAGATAAGTTTACTGGCAGTAGTGGACAATATTCAGGAATGGTTGCATCCATTCACTTACCCACCCATGGTGGGCATGAGGCCCACTGCCCTTCCCTTCACTCATGCCGAGTGTTCATTGCCTTTGATATTTTTGCTAACCTGGTGTCTGTAAAATGGGATCCCACTGTGGTTTTCCTTTGCATTTGCTCATTCTGAATGAGGTTGAGCTTCCTTTCATATGTTTATGGGTTATTTTCTTTCAATGAATGCTTACTCTTGTCTTTGGCCATTTTTTCCATCGGGTTCTCTGCCTTATTCTTATTGATGCACAGTGTTTAAATATTCTGACTACCAATCCTGTGATGTTTCATACATCATGCAAATACCTGCTCCTTCTTTGAGGAGTATAGGTATTTTTAAAGGAGTTTTTCATTTGTTTCCAAATAGTTTGCTTCTGCTAACTTAAAAGAAGCTTTTGGTTTATAAAGGCTTTGGCTGTTTGTCAGAATTAGGTCCAAGATGTGCCTAACCACCTTGCCCATGGAGGGATAAATACAATTATGAAGGGTTTTTGGAATATGTCTTCTTCTTTTATTTATTTATTTATTTATTTTTTATTGCATTTTAGGTTTTGGGGTACATGTGAAGAACATGCAAGATTGTTGCATAGGTACACACATGGCAGTGTGGTTTGCTGTCTTCCGTCCCCTCACCTGTATCTGTCATTTCTCCCCATGCTATCTCTTCCCACCTCCCCACCCCCCCGTCCCTCCCCCATTTCCCCCCAACGGACCCCAGTGTGTAGTGTTCCCCTCCCTGTGTCCATGTGTTCTCATTGTTCAACACCTGCCTATGAGTGAGAATATACGGTGTTTGATTTTCTGCTCTTGTGTCAGTTTGCTGAGAATGATGGTTTCCAGGTTCATCCATGTCCCTACAAAGGACATGAACTCATCGTTTTTGATGGCTGTGTAATATTCCATGGTGTATATGTACCACATTTTCCCTATCCAGTCTATCATCGTTGGGCATTTGGGTTGGTGAAGGATATGAACAGATACTTTACAAAAGAAGACATACAGGAGGCCAACAAACATATGAAAAAATGCTCATCATCACTGGTCATCAGAGAAATGCAAATCAAAACCACATTGAGATACCACCTCACACCAGTTAGAATGGCGATCATTAAAAAATCTGGAAACAACAGATGCTGGAGAGGATGTGGAGAAATAGGAACACTTTTACACTGTTGGTGGGAATGTAAATTAATTCAACCATTGTGGAAGACAGTGTGGCGATTCCTCAAGGACCTAAAAATAGAAATCCCATTTGACCCAGCAATCCCATTACTGGGTATATATCCAAAGGATTATAAATCATTCTACTATAAGGACACGTGCACACGAATGTTCATTGCAGCACTGTTTACAATAGCTAAGACCTGGAATATGTCTTCTTTTAAATGGCAAGTATAAGAGAAATGGGAATCTGCATTGATATATTATTTATGAAAAACTATCATCCAATGCCTATGTTCTTCCTTGTAGCCTTAGAGGTGGAAAAACATAATTTATATGTATATAATGCTGTTTATATACAAGATAAGCCCAAATCATTTTTAGAAAAATTTTCCATTTAGTTATAAAAATTTTAATGTATGCATCTTAAAAAAAAAACTGTGTTCTCTGAAGGCATGAACAAAGGCTGGATGTTATGAATATGCAGTAAGTTCTTAAAGCATATGAAGTAGGGTTACATCATATTTAGCATTCATTAATATCAGCAAGACGTGAGAATAAATTAGTAATGTGTTATTCAATGCTCTCTCTCCAAAGGACTTGGCGAATTTTATTCAAGCAAATTTTAAGAAACGAGAATGTGTCTTCTTTACCAAAGATTCCAAGGCCACGTAAGCTACTACTTTCTCTCCATTTTTGCTTTCCACATTAAAAAAAAAATCAACCACCATTACAACAAACAAAGAAATGCTCACTGGTTCATTATTAAAGACGTCTTCGTCTTGTAATTCTCAGAAATGTTGTGTGAGCAGGAAAGACCTGGCAAGGAGCTTGTATTTGTTGCTTAGAGCTGTACGATTTCATTTGATAGTTTCAGCTTTGGCAATAGTTGGAAAAGTTACTGAGAGAGGCTGTCACTCTCTTCAGTATTCCCATGAAAATGGAAACCCACCTGAGTGACCTTGGTAATGAAAGTTGTTAACAAGGAAGTTGTCAGGCAATACCATGCATGTGGGCATATTTCCATCTTACTGGCTCCTCTGTCAGGCTTTTCTTCCCTGCTGTTGACTTTGGGTCTTTCCTTCTAACTGGATGTTAATCTACTCTAAGTCTCATGTGTTGTGGAACATTCAGCCCAGGTTACAAAAGCAAGCCTCACCAGCTCAGCCCACAGGAGGTCTTCAGTAAATGTTGATGAGCAAGTGAGGGAATGAATGGATTGACTAGTGCTCACCCTTTGTGTAGAAGATGCGTTTGAATCTAATTAAACAATCTTAATCCTACCCCAGTCTTCTTATTTCTCTCTGTCCCTTCTTTTTTGCTGACTGGCAATGCAAGAAAAAGTCTAGCTATGAACTGAGTGGAAGTTTCTGCTGTCATTTAAAATGAAAAGAACTTCTGTTGAACAGAGGCAATGAACAAAGGAAGGCTGTAGTAACAAAGAAAAAGGCTTTAGAACCAGCTTTGGTTTTAACCTTGACTTGGCTGCCTCCTCACTGTATGGCCTTGAGCCAATTATTCCCTTTTCTGAAGCCAATTCCTTTATCCTAAAAATCTAGCAAAAATATACCTCATGGGTTGTGGTATTCAATGAGGTAGCACATAAAATGCTTACCATAATGCTTTAGAGCATAATTCTTCATGTGAATCAGAAAATGAACAGCGGAAAAGACCTCTGCTCTGTCACCGGTATAAACTTATGCATCATCAGTCATTCTGACAAAGTATAAGCTTTGTATGTCAGCTATTTATCCCCTGTACGTTTCACTAACAGGACTTACATACTTGATTGCTAATACTACAACCTCCTTGCAAGGAAGTTGTTATTATTGTTAAGGCAAGTGAGACCCAGAGACGTTCAGTATTTTACCCACAGTCACATGGCCAGTGGAAGACAGATGAGGGATTCGAACCCAGGTTTTCTGATTCCAAGGTTGTGTCTTCTCTATACCCTCAGTTGCCTCCCTTTCTAAGAATGACATTGCTTCAGGCAGACCAAATTCATCAACACATTCTCAGTTACAGATGTCCAGTCTAACTGGCATAAGTGGAAGACGGAGGAGGGATTCTGTGGGGTATGATAACGGGATGTTGTGGCTGAAAAGTGCAGCCAGATCCAGGGCTTGAACAATGTCACCAAGACTCTGTCTCTTTCCACCTGTTGTTTCTGCCCCTCTCTGGTTGACAGGCTTTTCACAAATGGAGGTAAAATGGAGGTAAATTGGTTGTGCATAATCAGCTTTCCATTTGCCAGTTAGAGCAAAGAGGGCCTTGCTCCTAGCAATTCCATCAAAAGTCCTGGGCTGATGTTCATGGCTCTTAATGATCTGGCTTGGGCCATGTGCCCATCTCTGAACTAGTCCCTGGGCTGGAGGGTGGATTAGTTGAGTTGGATGGTGGAATATGCTGATTGGCCAGGCTTGGGCAATGTGTCCGGGTGAACTCGGCAGAAAAGGATGATTCCTCAAAGGAAAATCAGGGCTCACTTACCAGCAGAAGGGGAAGTAGATGCAGGTCAGAGAAGCCTATGGCTGTCCACATTATAGTGCTTGATTACACCTCAAGTCTGAGCCAAAATGAAGGAAGATGTAGTGAGCAGCCACCGTCCTAAGCAACATAAGCAGAGCATAGGAACATCTCAGGGTCTTCCAGTTCCCCTCTCAGAAGGGATGCAAAGTTCTATAATCTTTGAATTCCCCATATGTATTATTTCTATCTCTCCATAGGTAGTAGGAACACTCCATGTAATCTAAGTTACCCATCAGGCAAGGGCATCAGATGACGTGATGATTAATGACATCAATACCCTGGTTTTGCTGCTACTTGCCACATGAGATGACGTAAGCTCCCAAGAGTTCCCAAGATTGCCACCCTTGTGCTAAACCCAACCCACCCTGTCTTTCCACTCTAACCTCTTGTGGATGTTACTGCAAGGTGATGCCACGCCTTCACTCCTGCTGCTGTGTGTCCTCTGAGACATGCTGCCGGCTTAGGGGTCGCCTTCTGGCACACCATGGGTAGTAAGCTTCTAGGTCTGGGTTTGTTCTAGTCACTTCTTACTTCCTTGGCCATGCTGGGTTCCAGGTAGAAATGGAAAGAACGCTACTTCCACAACAGCAGCACTGTGCAACAGAACTTTCTGCCATGGTGGAAGTATTCTATGTCTGTGCCATCCAATATGGTAGCCACTAGCCACATCTGGCTATTGACCATTTGAAATGTGGCTAGTACAACCAAGGAACGCTTTCAACTTAATTTAATTTCACTTAATTTAAATATAAAATTAAATGGCCACGTGGGTCAGTGGCTACCGCAATGGACAGTGTCATTCTACAGTATTCGGACTTGGTCCAAGGGGGTAGAACTAGGGTCCTGATGCTCCCCTGTCCTCTTCATCTCTCCTACCTGTCATCCCTATTCCTCCTCCAGGTATCTGCACTCCTAATGCCTTCCTGGCAAGCCCTCTTCTCCATTTGTAAACCAATTCATGCAAATTGATGCTTGGAGTGATACCAGGCCATAGACAAGAGCTTCCAGGCAGCTGCCACCTGTGACAGGCAAAAGGGCTCAACGGTCTTTTTTTGGTTATAACAACAACAGGTGGGGCAGGGAATTCTCACCCCCATTCTGCAATGAGCTTGGGTGGGTGGACAGATCCCAAAAGAGAGTGGAACAGTGACAGCTGTGGAGAGAGAAGAGGAACACTGGGAAGCAGACTGGGCTCAGGAAGTGCCCTAACACTTAGGAAGAGAGAGGGCTGAGAAAAATGTGTTCAATTCTTGTTGACTTTTTTGGGGCCACATTGAGTGATGCCCTGGGAACTGTTCCAAAACAGAGGTGAGGCTGCTGCTGGAGGGCAATGTTGGATCCAGTCCCTAGCTCAATTTTTATAGCTTCAGAAAATATTAACTGCTTTGAGAAATACTTTGGAGAGGGATCATTTACATATTGTGTGGTGATTAAGACTTTTGGTTACAAGGAGCTCAACTACCTTAACCTGAAGAGGGGATTTGCTCTAAGGAAAAAGAAATGCCACCTAAGAGTAGAGGGCGGCCAGGCCTCTGGAGTGGTTAGAAACAGTGACTGACAAGGGGGACTCAGTAGGTCCCCTCTGCTCACCCCTGCCTCCACCTCTTCCTGCACACCTGCTGTCTTCTTTTTCAGAGAAGCTACAATTGTGTTGTGGTGTCTGATCTTCCATGTCACAGGCCTAGACTTAGAGAGAGATGGGAGCAGCTCTTTTGGTCCTAATTACAAATTCTTATGAAAGGGACACCTATGTCAATCCCGGATTAACTTCCCATCCTTGGGCCTGTCAATCGTGGACATTTCCATAATTCAGTTATATGAACAGACTCATCTTGATCCTACTGTGTAGACGAGGTTGGAGAGAAGGGACAGTCTCACTGGGGTCAATGTCAATGCGCCGTATCTAGCAGGCACCTGCAGCAGCATTCCCACCCCCTAGGAGAGCAAGCTGCTCGTGAGGTTTGCTGCTGAGAAGCGTTTGTTCCTCATTGTAGAATCGCTTTGTTGAGTGGCTTTGGTAGTTACCCTGGGCTTCCAGTACTTCAAAAAGATTGCTATTAGCAGAGCAACTCCAGTTGAAGCCAATTACTTCCAGGCAGCAGAAACTTGGTAACAATTTGGCTGGGAATTCATCTGCTTCTGGAGTGGTCATAAAATTTGCCCATTAAGCAACTCCTTTCTGCTGCTATTGTGTTTTTAGAAACAGTCATAGAAATATATACCACTATTACCATCTTGTAAATGAAAATGTGACCTCCTGCCATGGAGTGCTTTTAGAATTAACCCTATCATTTTGCCATATGTTAAATAGGGTGAACAGTGAAGAAGACCCTGAAAATACAGCTTGTATTCTGGAAAGGAAACAAGCCTACTTTACAAAGATCATTGAGGATGCAAACTATTTAAAAGAAGACCAATCAGTGTATTTATTCACTCACTTGTTCATTCATTTAAAGGACATCTGCTAAATGCCCTGATGTGCCAGAAACATGCGGACAGAGAATATAAGATAAAGAGTCCAGCTGGAAGTAAACCCTAACAGGATTTCCTCAGTTTGTATATCTTTATTTGGCTCAGCCTGTGCAGGGAATCCTTGCTCCATGGTCGCCATGTATGGTTGCCTGGGCTGTGCACTGCACAAGGATGCTGGGGGTGAATGGGGCTGAATCTTGTTATCTGACCCTGCATTCTGGTACTGGCCCACATCTGCCAGAGGGAGATGCCTTTTCTGGTAGGTTAGTGGTGAACGGGCGACCCCAGACTTTATCGTGGGGTCTAGGACCTGGATAAGAGTGAGGGAGGCACTGATCCTACCAGGACTTGGGCAACAGGTGTAAACTTGGACTGTCCTGGGCAAATGAGGACACTGAGTCACCCACTGGTAAAAGGAGAGCTGTGCCCTTAGGGCCTGTTTTAGTGACCAAACATGTCTCCCACTTTGCTACCTCTAGCCTTCTCAGGACAGAACTCTCTGTTCTCCTCCTCCACTGGCCATGGCCCCCTTGAATTCCTAGCACCTCTATGTCTTGTCCAAAGATGGATCAGAAAGACAGCAGAGAGAGATGGAGAACCAAGTGGATGGGGCAGGCAGAAAGAAGCTGGGAGGAGGTGAACAGAGCCCACTCGGGGGGAGTTGCTTTTGGCCAAATGGGAATCTTGGTTGTTGTTGTTCATGTCTCTGGAGACCACTACTCTCAGGGTGCTCTGGATAGAGAGGTCAAATGGTCATGGAAAGTATTTTTGGAGGGTTTTAATTTTTTTTGATGGAGTCTTGCTTTGACACGAGGTTGGAGTGCAGTGGCATGATCTTAGCTCACTGCAACCTCCACCCTCCGGTTCAAGTGATTCTTCTGCTTCGGCCTCTCGAGTAGCTGGGACTATAAGCGTGTACCACCACGCCTGGCTAATTTTTGTATTTTTAGTAGAGAAGGGGTTTCACCATGTTGGCCACGATCATTTTGATCTCTTGACCTTATGATCCGCCTGCCTTGGCCTTTCAAAGTGCTGAGATTACAGGAGTGAGCTGCCGCACCTGGCCGATTTTTTAAAAACTGCATTTGTGCTTCTTTTCTGTTGCCACTGCCTTCCTTAATCCTTGATTTGCATGTATGACACCATCATAACTTAAGTCACCTTAATGGAGCGGGTACCACATTGCAGCTCCAGCAAAGTACTCTGCGTCATTTCCGGCCCTAACGGCAAGCCAGGACAGGAGAGGGGCTGTGCAAGAATCAAAGGTGTTTTGTTTGTTCCTCTGCACTTTGCCAGGTGTCATGTGAAGTTATTCCCGAGAGATCAACTTACGAGCAGGAATGACACCCGGCTCTTCTTGAGCTGCTGTGAAGCTCAGCCCGGGGCTGAATCAGAGCGGATTTTCAATAGTATCTGTTGGGTGACTGGGGTATGTTGGCGAAGGCATAGGGGAGAGGATTTACCACTCACTGTATCTTTCTATCCTATTCCAGTTTCCTGTTATGTCTCTGTGTCCCCTAATGAATGAATTTAGTTCCATCGCACTTTTAACGGGAAGAATTCGTGTTCATTTACCGCCAGTTTGTCCTCCTCTAGCCCAAGTTCTTGAAAGTCTGTCTAATAGCTAATGTCTAATGAGGAAAGGATGATCACTCTAGAGTCTGGAACAGTTTGGGTCTCTGCCAAGGGAATGTATCTCCCCAGCGAGTTCAGCCCATGGGAAGGATGTCTCACTTCCCTTCAGAAGAGCCTGACTGGATGGGCGAAACGACAGGGTTGGTGCTGAGGCGCTGAGGCTCCTGTGTGTTATGAACTGTGTGAGAAGCTGAATAAAGTTTTCAGATTTCTGAAACTCAGTCTCATAACAGCCCCATGGACGGAAGCTAGATTCCATGAGGGCAGGGCTCGTTTCTGTTCTATCAGCATGGAGTTAACTTGTTGGTGAAGGAATGATAAACATCAGGGATAAAACAGCAGATCTGGTTTCTTTTGTTTTCTCTCTTTATTTATTTTTATTTATTTTTTATTTTTTTGGAGAGGGAGTCTTGCTCTGTCACCCAGGTTGGAGTGCAGTGGTGTGATCTCAGCTCACTGCAACCCCCACCTCCTTGGTTCAGGTGATTCTCCTGCCTCAGCCTCCTGAACAGCAGAGACTACAGGTGCATGTCACCAAGCCTGGATAATTTTTGTATTTTAATAGAGATAAGGTGTCACCATGTTGGCCAGGCTGGTCTTGAACTCCTGACCTCAAGTGATCTGCCCACCTCAGCCTCTCAAAGTGCTAGGATTATAGGCATGAGCCACTGAGCCCAGCCACATCAAACTAGTTTCTGTGGAACTGACTGAGATTACGAAAACAGTCTGAAAATAAGACTTGAAGGTATCACTTCTTTGTGTGTCTATTTAAGCTAACAATGCCAGTTTTCATAAGTAGTCTCAATGAACTCCTTCCTTCCTGTCCACACCATTGTGCTTATCAGGGAAAATGTGTGCAAGTGTGGCTATCCCCAGAGCCAGCACGTGGAAGGCACCCAGATCAACCAAAATGAGAAATGGAACTACAAGAAACACACCAAGGAGTTTCCCACGGACGCCTTTGGGGATATTCAGTTTGAGACACTGGGGAAGAAAGGGAAGGTAAGCGATGCTCTTTTACTTTGGCAGTTAGTTCATAGGCCCAAGTGGTTTGGGCTACCTTGATTTACCTGTAATTGTCTAATCGGATGGAGGCAGGAGAGATGGTAGTAAACACCAAAAATGATTGCAGGAAAAGATACATCTTGTAAAAGTCAAAAAGCAGTGATTAGACTGTGCTCAACTGGAAAACCTGACGGGGAAGGTTTGGATTATCACCTAGCCTCCTGTGTCCACACACAAGGCAGGCATCCAGATGACATCCACCTTGAGCCCCACTATTACAGAAAGCCCCATGAATGCTTTTGTGAACCCGATTGCTTAGCTCTGTGCACTCCTGAGTTACATAACGCCTGGAATCTGCATTCCCTCCACATTCACTGTGCAAGCTCTCCAGCAAGGTTTTGCAAAGATGTTTAATGATCAGAAACAGCCTCTCCTACATCTTCCGTGCTCTCAGTCTCAATGAGAGCACCGCCCACAGGCTGCTTCTGCAGGAGCGGGGCTTCTCCTCCCTGAGCTCCCCATGGCTGCCCTGGGAGGTGACCCAGCCCCATCCACTGCTGACTCCTCCCAGGGCCTCTGCCCCAGAATGGGACAGCACCCTCTCTTGCTGCCCACAGCTCTGCCCACCTCCCTGTGGCGTCGGCAGGGCTGCCGAGGACTCTCTAAATGCAAAGCCCACCCTGTTACTACCCTGCTTCAAACACCTCAGGGTACCCCTCTTAAGTCCCAAGTTCTCCACCTGGCTTTTCAGGGCCCCCAGAGCCCTCCAGTCTGCTTTCCTTCTGTGAATCCTGAATATCTGAGACAGGTATCCGTTACTTTAGAAAGTTTATTTTGCCAACATTGAGGACTCACACCTGTGACACAGTCTCAGGAGGACCTGACATGTGCCACAGGTGGTCAGAGCACAGCTTGCTTTCATACATTTTAGGGAGACATGAGACATCAATCAGCCCAGGTAAGATGAACACTGGTTCCGTCCGGAAAGGTGGGACAACTGGAAGTGGGGAGGGGGCTTCCAGGTCATAGGTAGATAGGAGAGGACGGTTGCATTCTTTTTTTTTTTTTTTTTTTTTTTTTTTTGAGATGGAGTTTCACTCTTGTTACCTAGGCTGGAGTGCCATGGTGTGATCTCGGCTCACCGCAACCTCCGCCTCCTGGCGATTCTCCTGCCTCAGCCTCCTGAGTAGCTGGGATTACAGGCACGTGCCACCATGCCCAGCTAATTTTTTTGTATTTTTGGTAGAGACGGGGTTTCACCTTGTTGACCAGTATGGTCTCGATCTCTTGACCTCGTGATCCACCCGCCTCGGCCTCTCAAAGTGCTGGGATTACAGGCTTGAGCCACCGCGCCTGGCCTTTTTTTTTTTTTTTTTTAAAGCAAAATTGGTTTTATTGATGAGTAAAGTGTACATTTTATAATAACCGTATAATGATACAACATTCAGCTCTGTAGTGGTTCCAAAAGGACCAAATACATATTAAATACAATAAAATTATTTTGGATCACATAGTCTTCTCTCAAAATACCAAATTTAAAATGTAAAGCATGTAAAATATTCCTATGGATGCTGAGAGCTCTTTTATGAAGCCACTGTACCCACAGACCCCGCTGAGACCCTTTTCAGTATGTAAGTGAATTAGCAAGTAGATTTATTAACTGTGTAAGGGACATCTCTTGAGTTTCTGATTAGCCTCTCTCCAAAGGCGAGGCCCATTCTGATGCTTCTCCCTCTTCCCCCATAGTATATCCGTCTATCCTGCGACACGGACGCGGAAATCCTCTACGAGCTGCTGACCCAGCACTGGCACCTGAAGACGCCCAACCTGGTCATTTCTGTGACCGGGGGTGCCAAGAACTTCGCCCTGAAGCCGCGCATGCGCAAGATCTTCAGCCGGCTCATCTACATCGCGCAGTCCAAAGGTGCAGGTGGCAGGCTGCCCCACGGCCAAGGGCAGCGGCCTGCTTCTTCCCTTCCGGCCGCGCCAAGTTTGGGGAGCCGAGAAGGGAGGCCCCGTGTGCCATTCCGGAGAATCCGGATGCTGCTGGAGCTGATTAATCATTATTTTATTAAAAGCAGTATCCTCGAATGAATGGATGGGGAAGTCTGGCAGATAGCGGGGGAGCCTCACAAAGTTAACTCTTTAAATCAGCGTTAAGGTGCTTCCTTAGGGGAAATTTTTAAAATCTCGTTAAGATTTTCACTTTGTTATTAACACACGTAACATTTTACCCAGAATTTTTTCGGGTAAAATTGCTGGGCGAATTGAAAAGGACAGTTGTGATTTGCTTGGCCTGTTCTTGTGAGATCAGTGATATGCTTTTGAAAGCAGTGACCGTGCCTGAGAAATGGTAAGCACCCTGTAAGTGTCGGATTGAGGTCAAAGCAACCACGGCTTTGTTACTTCAAACAGTATTTTCTTTCTAACTTTATTTTTCTAAAAAAATTTGAATCTACAAAAAAGTTGCAAGAATAATGCAATGAACATCTGTATATTCTTCGCCTAGATTCACCAGTTTTTAACATTTTCCCACATTTGCCTTATCTTGTTCCATAAATATCTACAGACGATTTTTTGGGGGAACCATTGAAAGCAGGTTGCAGGAATCATGATCCTTAACCCCCAAGTACATGAACATGCCACTCCTGAGAACAGGGGGTTTTCTCATGTAACCCAATACAATTTTCAAACCCGAATGGTTACCATGGACCAATACTGCTCTAACAGTTTATACTCAAATTTTGCTAATTATCTCAACGAAGTCCTTTAGAGCAAACATTCTTTTTTCTCAATTTGTATTCCAAATCGATTTAGCTTTTGTCTTTTTAAAAAATTGTATTTACTTTTCTTACATCTGGAACTGGTTCTTAGCCTTTTCTTGCCTTTCATTACTTTTTTTTTTTTTTTAACTATAGGCCAATTGCTTTGTAGATGTGGATTTGGTTGAGGTTTCCCCATGATTAGATTCAGTTTATTTAATCTTAACATTTAAAAAACTTATTTTATGAATAATTAACATTGACTGAAAGAGCTAAAGAAACATGTCCTAATCTAGATGTGATTTTTTTTCTTGATGCCAGGAAGAAACCGAGATGTTTTGTTTTCTTTTTCCCATTCATTTTTCTCAGTTTCCTGACCAACCAAAGGGGATACTGCAGGTTGTCACTTCGTTATAAAATTGAGTAACTCAGCTTTCTTGCTACTCAATTCTGAACACACCTTATTCATTCATTAAACAAATACTTATTGGATGCCTATGATGTGCCAGAGATTGTTTTATGTGCTAGGAATATAGCAGAACAAAATGGACCAAAAAAATCCCTGGGCTGGGGCACATATTTCTCTATAGATGAAGTGAAGCAATGAGAAAGTTGAATAGTTTCATTGTTGCTGTTTGTCCACTTGGAGTGCTACCGTCACTCCCCATTGTCTCATTTTTAAAGGGAATGTTAATGGCTGAAATTGATATGAAGCCATACCCGCTCTATGTGCCTGCATGCAGTAAGTCAACCACTGTGAGCATGGGTTTTGCAAAAGAGAAAAGATTTATTCACAGCGTTGCCCAGTGAGGAGATGGGAGAACAGCTATCAAATCTGCTTCCTCAAAGATAAGGATTAGGGATATTGGAGAAGTAAAGAAGCAGGTATTCTACGGCGTGGGGAAAGGTGATCGGCAGTGGAGAAGGAATGAGGTAATTGGTGGTTTGTGCAGGTGTAATGGGGGTTCATGGCTCTTCATAGGACACCTGTTCAGAAAATGGCAGTGTTAGCATGATCCGAGGGAGGAGTTTTGGCCGTCTGACATGAAAAGATCATCTCTTGGGCAATTGCACACACTCAGTTGTATAGTCAATGGTCTCAACTGTTTTGAGCTGGCTCCGAGCAGCTCCCTAGTTCCTGAAAAACAACTTTAATCAACCATTATCATAGTGATGTATTTGTCAGCGATGTTATCTATAAGGAAACTAGTGGAATTTAGTTACATATTGTTAGGCTACATGACTTTTTGCTATACAGGTTTTAAAATCAACTAGAAGGAAGAAATTAAAAGCAAGCAAGGCAGGTGAAGTTTGGTGGGCTTAATCAGGTTAGCTCTCGGTTTCAAAATCTGTCTAGAGGAAGGAGACTGGGTTCTGAGAAGCTGGATTTATGCCCCATGAGAACTGGTTAAAAGAAGTAGGTATAAAACTTCTAAGGATATTGGAAGGACTTTGATGTGGAGATATGTAAAATTATTCCTCCTTGCTGAAGACCGTAGTAAAATTAGAGAACGGAGATAGAAAAGGGGCTTTCTAACAATTGGAAGAGGGGGCTGCCTCTCAACTCCTGACGCTTCTCTTACAAGAGCTAATCCAAAGAGGCCAGTGACCACTCGGAGGGTAGATTCCTACATGGGCAGCATATTATACTAGTTGAAAATATATCATTTTCAACTTCAGATTCTAGTTTTATGCGAAATAATGTTTTTGTAGTTATCATATTTATTCTACTTTTCCCCCTCAATAAAACCCTGTATCACCTTTAGCATTGAGAAGATCGTCAGTTCTAAACCTTAAAAAGGCCAGTGTGCAAAATTGTGTTTTATAAGCAAAGTGAAGTTGTTGACACAAAGGCCAGCCAAGGAAACTTGAATCCAACCAATATGAGTGTCCGAGAGAAGAGTGCCCGACTTTACATGGTGGCATGGCTAACTTGCTGAGAGGCTCTGGTTAGGCATTCATTGTCCATAAGAGCCCTCTAGAGGCTGGTTAAAAGATACAGATTCCCCAGACACACTTCTCAGACAGCCTGATGAGGTAGATTTGAAATAGGATCAAGAATCTGTATTTTTAAGAGAACGTCTCTATGTCTGAAGTCCTCTCCTTCTTTCTTTCCATATGACATAGCTGCCAGTGCTCTGTCCTGATGCCTACAGGAATGGGGCCTTCTTTTTAGGGGTCTGCGAGCCTATCATGGAAACTACCCGGTGCCAGTTGACCATTTACTCTTCCCATTTGTTGACAGGTGCTTGGATTCTCACAGGAGGCACCCATTATGGCCTGATGAAATACATCGGGGAGGTGGTGAGAGATAACACCATCAGCAGAAGTTCAGAGGAGAATATTGTGGCCATTGGCATAGCAGCTTGGGGCATGGTCTCCAACCGGGACACCCTCATCAGGAATTGCGATGCTGAGGTACGGGTGGGACAAGAGGAGATCTGCTAGGTCACCTGGAAGAAAGACCATGGCATGGGCCTGTGGCCTGAACCTGAGGCTTTGTGATGGAGCCAGATCATGGGGAAGTCTGCCTTTCAAGGGGTGCCTTTGGGACTGTAAAGGAATTAAAAACAAGGATGACGTACCTAATTAACTGCTGGGAAGGGGTTAACAATGAATGTGTTTTGTTCATTAAAATGTGTACTCAGCAATCTCATGTCACAGTCTTTACTCTTTATAACTGTGGTTTAGATCCATCTCAGGAGGGCTCAAGCCTGGAGGTAGTATCTTGATTGCTTGGCTACACTCACAGGAATTCAAATCAATGGCTACTGTCCTTGGTTAATTTGGCATTAAGAAGGCTGTGAGACACCCCCCTTCACCAAAATGTTTCCTGTGAACATATTTAGAGAGTAATGAGCATTTCATATTGAAATTACAAGGTAGACATATGGGGTCTTGTATCAAGTGTGGAATTTTTAAAACAACAATTTTAGTAATTGAGGACCTTCTTAAGCAACAGGTGTTCTCTGCCCAGAAGCTTTGGACCAAATGTTCAGAAATTCACATTTAAGCTACACCTTCTCCAATCTGGGCTCCTTAGAAGTTTAGGCAGCAAATGTTAAGGATTTTTGGAATTGCTGTGAGTCTTCTTTTAGAATTATTTTATTTTTGCTTCTTGGTTACCATTTTTGAGACATGTAAGGGGCAGAGGAGAGCTGGGAGGTGTTTTTTCTGTGCATCTTCAAGGAGGAAGCTTGGTGGATGGGAAAGAGGATGTGTTTTGAAGACAGAGAAGTCTGGGTTGGAGTAATCATTCCTTTTCTAGCTGCATAGACTGGAGCCAGTTCCCTTCTTCAAGTTTTTATAATAATAACCTGTATTGTTATGGGACTGATTTATCTAATTGTGCAGAGTGAATGGTAGCTTCTATTTTTATTATTAGATGCTCAACAAGAGATGGCAAAATGGTTTCACATCAAATGCCAACTTCAGGATGAGAGTGGCTCAGAGCAGGCTTTTGAGGGCAGTGGCAGGCTCAGTGGGAAAGAATACCATTATCGATTAGCAATATTTGTAATGGGCATGGGAGCCAACGTAGTGTTGTATAATTATCCCCATGCTAGATGCAGGGCATATGTGAATTCACAGACTCACAAAAAAACCTTATTAAATAAGTATTTTTATCCTTTAATGAGAATGAGAAAAGACTTCAAAATCTCCCTGGAGGCTGTCTATAGGGCCCATTTTCTAGCAACAAGTAAAACTTGAAATGAATATGTAAAGATTGAAGAAAGTGCCAATCATTTGGAAATTAAGAAACAACCAACCACTCAACCATCTGGGTAATAAATGTCGGATCTAGAATTATCTTTCAAAAATGTAATATCAGATAACTTAGAAAGTAATGCAAATGAACACATTACATATTAGGAATAATATATGTCAATATGTCAGTATGGCCAAAGCTGCACTCAAAGTGAAATGCATAGCCATATACCTTTATTAGTATATCAAAAAGTTAATAAATAATCCATTAATCATAATAACAAAACCAAACATTATATAATAGCACTTGTTATGTGCTAGGTTCTATTCTAAGTGTTTTACATATATTAATTCACCTGATCTTCATAACAAAACTATGAGGTAAGTACTACTATTCCCCTCTCATTATAGATGAGAAAAGTGAGGAATACAGAAAGTAAGAAACTTTCTTAACGCACATCTCTAGTTAGTGGCAGATCCATGGTGCACAATCTTTTAACCACTACAGTATTCACGTTAATAGATTTGAATAATAATATCACCAGCAAAACTCTAAATTTTGTCTGAATACTAGTTTTTCTTTCTGTTCTCTTTGAGTTTTGCTGGTGATATTATTTTCAAACTTATTCAATTCTATTCTTGGAGTTAAGAATGAAACGCCTTTTAATGCAACCCTGATACTTTCAAACCTAAGTGTCTTTGGATGGAGCTTGAGAGTGAAGAACCTTTTCAGTAAGGATTCCCGTCTTTATGTTCCCGTAGCAGCTTTTCATTCTCTGGTATTTTGGGGACGAAGTATCCATTTAATTGTTTCTTTTTGTGGTCCTGTTACTACACACTTCTCAAGTTCAAACACTGTATTTCATTCATTTTCTAATCCCTAGATCCTGACATGGGTCCCAGCATATGATAGATACCAGACAACTATGTATGCGTGCATTTCAATGTCTGCTTCTACCTGTATCTAGACACACACAAATATGTACACACACACACACACACATACACAATTTCCTGAATGCTGAATTTCAATTTCACTGAGTTTATGCAAAAAAGCACAGGGCAATGAACCAAGAATTGGACTGGGAATCTGATCCTTACACTGTCACTGACCATTTATGAGAAAATGAGCAAGGGGCACAACCATTTTGAACTTCCATTTCCTCATATTTAAAAGGAAGTCTGTACTACAAGATTGCCAAGATCCTTTTGAATTTAGGAATTTGGGGGGGAGGCATAATATAACTGAATCCAAAGCATTAGCTTTCATATGAATATATAAAAATATCATCATGTATCTTGACTGTTAGGCACAATCTCAAAGACAAGTTTCCCTGTACTTTGCAGGGCTATTTTTCAGCCCAATACCCTATGGATGACTTCACGAGAGACCCTCTGTATATCCTGGACAACAACCACACCCATCTGCTGCTCGTGGACAATGGTTGTCATGGACATCCTACCGTGGAAGCAAAGCTGCGGAATCAGCTAGAGAAGTACATCTCTGAGCGCACTATTCAAGGTCAGTAGTTAGGAAGTAGGACTCTAGACATGTACAGTAACAACAGCAGCCACAGCACCAACAACAATCGCTACTATTGAGTGACACATGGTAAACACACCTGATCAGGTATTTTTATTGCCAAAGAACTGTTATTTCTCTTCTTGTTTCAACACACCAGGAGTGCTTCTGCCAGGGTCACTATGATATGTACCCTTCAACATGCTAAAGGCAATGATAAATGCGGCCTTCTTCAACTATGGTTTGTCAGTATAGTATGCTGGCTGTCTTCTACTAGATACCATTTAAGAACAAATTCGATCTGCGATGACAAATATAAGTTTATGAAACAATGCAATTAGCTAGAATAGTAAATATAAAACCAATCTACTAGTTTAACAATGGCTTCCTTTTTTTGAATTTTGTCCACTTCTAAGTAAGAGAAACTGGTTTCAAGAGAAGAATGCAACAGTTGAGTGAAAGCCATTATTTGCATGGTTAAGTGACATGCACCTTCTCTCCTCCAAAGGACAGGGTATTGAGATGTGTCCTGCTGTGGAACAAGATTACCTTGTGATTTGGTGATATACATAATGACAGGAACTTGTTGGAGATGTTCTCAATTCTTTTCCTTTCACAATCAGACATACATGAAAAAAGACACTGTATATGCAGTAAACTCTGTTGGGAGACCACTAGTTATAAAAAATTCTCACTCACTCCAGAAAACATAGGATTATGCAAATGAGTGAGAGAATCATAAGAATAAATTTAAACCTAGTTTAATTTATAGGTGCAAAGATAAATCATGCACAGACTTTAAGTATTTAAATATGTATTTTAAATATCAATGACAGATTGCAACATGACCCATATCATGCTATTACTAGTGTGGGGCAAAAAGACCCATCCATCTTTAATGAGTAGATAAAATTCAAGTGCATGAGATGTGACGCTATCTCCCCACACCCTAGGCTCACAGGGCAGAAGCTCATGATCCACCTTTTCACAGAGGTAGGTGAGTATTTCCAATGAACTCAAAATTCACTTTACTTTTTATGTTTTACAGATTCCAACTATGGTGGCAAGATCCCCATTGTGTGTTTTGCCCAAGGAGGTGGAAGAGAAACTTTGAAAGTGAGTCCTGATTTAGTTTTCTAGAAGGTTGGCTAATCAGCCTATCCAACAAATTTGTATTTTCAGGGATTTGGGCTCATCTGATCTAATCTGACTAATTTATTTTGCTGCAGCAAGTAGGTAGTGTTTTACCTCCACATACTGTTCCCCTAACAAACTCCAGTTGTTCCTCAGTCAAGAAGATTTGAGAGGAGAATTTGCAGTGACATGAATAATCTGTGTACTTAGTATTGGCCTTGACAGTCAACCTGCCAAAGAGATGAGTTGACATTAACTTGGGAGACTTAAAGATTGTAACCAGCATATATATTAGAAAGCTATGGTCACCCCATCTGCACTAAGATGAGATGTGATCATACACACGCAAATTACCCCCAAATCAGGTGTTTCCAGACCATCTAAGGCCCATTTATATGCCACCTGAGGATGCAGGTATGTCACATAATAGAATCCCAAACCCTAAGTGATTCTGAGACCATAGAAACTTCTTGAATGTCTCGCATCTGCAACACTGAGTGACTGAGCAAGAATTTGACTTCCCAGCCAAGCTGTGTAGATTCACTACCGAGTTCATCATGCCTGCAGCCAGGCTTCTGTTTGACTTCTTAAAAAATGAGTCAGCGTGACTGTAGTTTAGTATGTAGTGTAAACTATTTTCAAAAGCTCATTTTTCTAGGAATAGCACATTACAAGAAAGTCATTTTTAACTCATCTTTTTCATGAATTTCCACAATGATTTGCATATTCATCCTTTTACTCCTTCTATTTTACCTCTAAGACAGGGAGTAGATTGAAAATACCCTTGACCCTTGATCTTCTCCCCTCTCTTCATCAGAGTAAATCCCTAGAGCTAAAACTAAGTGCTGGCAACGTTATCTGTAATCATCATCTAGTACTTCTCTCTCTCTCTTTTTTTATGTAACAATCATCTTTTTCTTCATTCATTCAGCAAATATTTATTGAGTGCCCACTATGAGATTTACTATTGAGACCATGGTTAAATAAAAATCTTCCGGGAAACATCAAAATAAAGATTTTTTTTCAGTGTGTGATTATCAGTATATCAAAACCTTTTTATGCCTAGTGTTCCGTTATTGGAATGTGTGGGAATTATTTATATCCTACTGCTCAAGGTCATCACCAAGGTGATCACCAAAAAATTTAAAAAATTGCGACATGTCACTAATACAACGTCCTAATATGTGTCACTCAAATGTATTATGTCAGCACTTGGAATGATCAATTTTGTATGCAGGGATATTTTAAAGCACTTACGTATGGAAGACATAAGCTAGTCATCTGTGTTCTTATTATGGAACTTGTTATGGGCACAAGATTTCATACAGCAGATTACATTTCTCATTCATAAAGCAGTTGCCAACATTCGATTTGCTTCTGATTTAAAATAAAAGCCCCAAAGGAAAAAGCGTAAGGATGTGTCCCTGTGTTTTCACCGGCTTGGCTCAGAACCTTAGTCGGGAGCTGGGTTCTGTGGACCAAGGTCTCTTTGATCTGCCTGACTCTGTCTCCTTCCCTCAGGCCATCAATACCTCCATCAAAAGTAAAATTCCTTGTGTGGTGGTGGAAGGCTCGGGCCAGATCGCTGATGTGATCGCCAGCCTGGTGGAGGTGGAGGATGCACTGACGTCTTCCGCCGTCAAGGAGAAGCTGGTACGCTTTTTACCCCGCACGGTGTCCCGGCTGCCTGAGGAGGAGACTGAGAGTTGGATCAAATGGGTGAGTTGTCGGGACCATGTCTGAGGGCTGAGAAAAGAAGCCAAATTTGTGAGAAGGGAGAATGACTTAAACGCCCAGCTCCATCGGCAGCTGCAGGTATTCCACGCTTTCTCCGTGACTTTGAGCCTCAACAGGTGTCTTGCTGGAAACTGAAGTTCAATAAGTTATGTGACTCACCCACCAAGTGTATGATATTCCTACTTGAGATATTGCATTTTTTAGAGTTTACTGAAAAAGGGAAAACTGATGGTTTTATATGAATGTTCTTACTAGGACGTTGTAATATCTTGTTCAAGTTTAGGAGAGAGATAGACACAAGAATCTGGCAAAAGGAGATAACCGTATCAGCCTTACTGATGATGAGGGCAAAGTCAAAAGAGGTGGCTTGAGGTGCAGAACATTGGGTCTGAGTATGCTAAGTCTCAGAATAAGACAGATGAGCCCATCCTGACACAGGCAGCCCTGGACATCTGCTGACCTCCCTGCTGGGCTAGGCATGGCAGTTGGAGACCAGGGCACTTTGCTCCTTGAAAAGCCCATGAGGGCAGAAGGAGAGGGCTGGCTGGGCAGGCCAATATGGCTCCTCAACCCTGAATAGGGGTAAGTGAAAGAGTGGAGATTGACCAGGTGGCTAATTCTGGTGGAATTCCACTGGAATTCATGGAAATCCATTGGTTGGGGAAAGAAGCACTCCCTTTCCAAAGTGCTTATACATTGTTGAGCTAAGCATTCATATCTAACTACTACGAGTCAATTCTGAACATATAAACCTGTCTGGGTGCAGTGACTCATGGCTGTAATCCCAACCCTTTGGGACGCTAAGGTGGGAAGATCACTTGAGGCCAGGAGTTCAGGACACACCTGGGCAAGGTAGTGAGACCCCCATCCCTACAAACAAAAATTAGCCAGGCATGCTGACACATGACTGTAGTACCAGCTACTTGGTAGGCTGAGGTGGGAGAATCACTTGAACCAGGGAATTTGAAGCTGCAGTGAGCTGTGATGGGGCCATTGCACTCTAGTCTAGGTGACATAGTGAGATTACATTTCAAGAAAAACAAAAACAGTCAAAAAAATAGCATATTAATAGGTCAGTCCCAGAGTATACATATCAAAGTAAGACACTACATATTGATTACCACTCCCAATGTAATTTCCTGTGATGGATGAAAAAAATTCAATGGCCAGTTCAGGGATTCCCACAGAGGAAGGAACAGACAACTCTTTTTTTTTTTTGTTTTTGAGACGGAGTCTTGCTCTGTTGCCCAAGCTGGAGTGCAGTGGTGTGATCTTGGCTCACTGCAACCTCTGCCTCCCGGGTTCAAGTGATTCTCCTGCCTCAGCCTCGTGCATGCCATCGTGCCCGGCTAATTTTTTTTTTTTTTGTATTTTTAGTAGAGAAGGGGTTTCACCATGTTGGTCAGGCTAGTGTCAAACTCCTGACCTCGTGATCTGCCCACTTCTGCCTCCCAAAGTGCTGCCTCACAGTGGCTGTGAGCCACTGTGCCCTGCCAACAACTCTTAATTCATCCACCAAAGATGGCCCCAGGTCCACTTCAGTGACTTTCCTCTTACTCTCTGTACAAGTTGGCTTGCTGGACCTTGACCAGGCCATGTGCAAAGAATAAAGGCCACCTGAAGGGTTACCATACCCTTTCTAACGGATTTTGATTTCCGCTTCATGAAGACTGTTACAGGCAACTCATTTGATTTAGGGTAAAAGGCACATTCTACCTTCTTTGATTATATTATCCTTTCTGCAATTCATAGCGAATTCATATTCATATTGAATATGCTAATGATATATCATAATTACAGTCACATCAATTAGAAGACATACATCAATAGTAAAAATCAGTCTGGAATTTTAATTAAGCACTCATATAGGGTTTTGCACTTGGTACAGATTTCCCAAAAGACCAAGCTCAAGAGTGGGATTATTAATGAATGTATACATTCAGTCAAATATTAATTAGGCAACCTTCCAGGGCAGTCCTGGGTGACCTCACTGACTCTGTGGATACCCAGCCCCAAAACCTGGACTCACAGTTTCTTGACCACTCTGAGCAATACCTTATACCTCTCCCACGGGGCTCACACCTTCCTCTCCTAAAAGCCATCATGGTTATTCCCCCATGCCTGTTCCTCAACTTATTGAGAACTTGACCCTCCATAGTCTCCCAATCTAACAACCAATGTAGATATCATTCATTTATTCATCTTTAACTTTCATTTATTAATTTATTCAGTAGGTATTTGTTGAGCACATACTGCATGCCAGGTTCTGAAACAGGCATTTCAGAAAGAATTATGTACACAACAGAAACAGTCTGTATCCTCATAGAGGAAACAGGAGTTGAAAAAAAGTTTTATGCTTAGTGATGACAGTACAGTTCATTGTGTCGTTGGAAGCGAAATGGGTATTTGAAACAAAGGTGACATGGATATAGAACGGTGGGTGCTGAGGGAGCTTGGTCTGGTGTGGGGCTTTCTGGAAGGCTTCCTGGAGGAAGTGATATGGGAGCCAAGATCTGAAAGATGGAGAGAGTTAACGAGGTGGGGGCTGGGGTTGCAGTGGTGGGAATAGCATGTGCAAAGATCCTGGGGTGGGAGGCATGCCTGAGGAGTGAAAGATGGCAGTGACGGTGGATATGGTGTGTGGGAGCTCAAGAACTTGTGAGGTCCCAGCCCAGGAGGCTCCCTGAACCCTGTTTGGTCTTGTTCAAGTGTAATGGGATATTGTTAAAAGGTTTGAAGCAGGGAGAAAACGTGGTAAGAGTTGTATTCAGGAGAGCTTACTCTGGCAGCAGTGCGGCAGAGGATGGAGGAGGCATGAGTGTGTGGGATGGAGTCCCAGCTAGGAGGCCCCTGTGGCCATCTCTGGGGCCCATCAGTTTACTCGGTAGCCATATTCATTTTCTTTTTCTTCCTTTTTATTTCAAGGGAAAATAAAAATAACCCTTTGGTACTACCCACCTCCACTTGTGCTGCAGAATTTTGGGAGCTTCGCCTCTCCCCACCTTGTGTCAGTCCTAGCTGGACCCCTATTCTTCGGCCTGAACAAAGGCTGCAGACACGAAGAGGGCCTTTTCTTCTTGCTGTCATCCTCCCCCACCCTCTGCTTCAGAATCCCCATGGTTTGTCTTTTCCTGCCGTTTTCATTCATTTCCTCGTCACCTACCTGGGTGCTTTGAACTAAGACCTCCATCACCACCTTTCCCAGGCAACTGCAGCCTCTCTCAAAGCTCACCTTCTAGTTTCCAAATCCAAGGGCTCTTGTTTCCACCTTCAAACAGCCGGACCCTGAGACTTTGTCTCCCAGCTGGCGGAGCCTCTGCCGTTCCAGATCCTCATTTCCAAATGTTGTCAGGGAAACCTGCCATCGCCTTGAACTCAATCTAATGGAAACCAGATTTGCTTCCTGAGCTAGAAGGGGCCCTTTCTCACCAAGCTCCTGCTGGGCTCCCCAGTGCTCGTAACCTTGGAATTAGGGATTTCTTTTTCTTTTTAAAATGTCTTAAAATTAAACGTTACAGAAAGAACAATATAGAACATTCTTAATCTCTTTCTGCGCTTTCCAAGTCTTCTTTCCTGTTTGCATTTGAGTGTTTATTTCCTATTGTTTTAAGTCTTTATGGCCACATTTGGATGGTGCCTATGGTCTTCTATTGTCCTTTATTTACTTGCTCATTTAATAACTGAGCATCTGCTGTGTGTCAGGCTTTGTGACACACACACACACACACACACACACACACACACACACACGCACACATTTCTAGTCAAATGAGGCTCTCACCTTTTTGATAGGGGCTTTTTGATATGTGTGCCCTGGTATAACTGGTACTTTATTCTCACTGTAGTCAAGGACTCATTATTATTACAATCCAGAAATTAGAAGCTATGATCTGGAACTCCACTATAGGTGGTCTTTTTAAAAAAGATCCCTCACAAAAAGAAAGAAGTTTGTGCTCCTCATGTGTAAAATCTGTTGGCTGATAACTTTGTTCTTTAACTTTTGGCAGCTCAAAGAAATTCTTGAAAGTTCTCACCTATTAACAGTTATTAAAATGGACGAAGCTGGGGATGAGATTGTGAGCAACGCCATCTCCTACGCTCTGTACAAAGGTGAGTAAAAATAGCTCCCTTTGAAGTGTCAGCTCTGTGTTGCCTTCTGTGGCTTTTCATGACATACATTTCTTTTATAAAACAGCTTTACTGAAATACAAGCTTGTGCTTAATTTTGATGATCCTAGATTGGACGCTAGAATAACTGCTTTCGCCCTGGTGAAGTGAATCTCCTTGGTCATATCTATTTGACTGAATAAGAATTTTTGTCATTAAAATTCTGGTTAAACACAATCACAGTAGTCTCCAAAGAGCTATTTCTAACAGTGGTTTAAATACATTTTTAAATTGGGCCTCAGATTCTTTTGAGAATGTGACAAAACTATGGATCTTTGTCCTCGCATTCTATACATTTGTACACACATGCACATGTATTTCACACACATAGGTAATTTTGCATTTAATTTCAGGGTTTAAAAATTCCCTGAAGTTTATGAATGAACCTCAGGTTAAAAAATTCTCATTCATGATCTTTGCTGCTTTAGAATTTCACAAAGTGAATGTTACCCATAGTAAATAGACCCTTGGCTGTCTAGACTTGAATTGTGTGGCTGATAAATGTAAATTAGCTAGAGCAGAGCTAGGCACATTGGAAGTGCAATTTAAACATTAGCAATCTATTAGAATCATTCTTATTATACTTGCCAGAAATTTGGTTATAAAAATATTTATTGAAATGGAATTATGTCTGAACAGATACATAGATGCAGAAAATATCAGCTCTGAAAAAGACGAGAATAACATTGTTGTAATGTAGGCTATTGTTTCATAGATTTAGATATAGCATAAATCAGATATGGCTTTGAAATATAATGCCATGGAATCTGAATCTATGGAAAAATCCTTAGGATACCATTATTACATTGTTAGGCTATGCAATGGAAAGACATTACTATAGCTTGAGTCCATCCCCATTATAAACTTTGGGCCATTCAGGATGTGATTAAGAATGAGTGGGGCAGGACACGGTGGCTTAGGGCCAGGCATGGTGGGTCACTCCTGTAATCCCAGCACTTTGGGAGGCCAAGGAGGGCAGATCACAAGGTCAAGAGATCAAGACCATCCTGGCCAACACGGTGAAACCCCGTCTCTACTAAAAATACAAAAATTAGCTGGGCGTGTTGGCAGATGCTTGTAGTCCCAGCTACTCGGGAGGCTGAGGCAGGAGAATGGCTTGAATCCGGGAGGCAGAGGTTGCAGTGAGCTGAAATTGTGCCACTGCACTCTAGCCTGGCAACGGAGTGAAACTCCTTCTCAAAAAAAAAAAAAAAAAAAAAAAAAAGAAAAAAAAGAGTGAAGACTGAGTGAATGACAGTTGGAGTGTCTGAATTTATGAGAACATGCTCAATATCACCTTTGAAAATAGCTCTGATAATTGGCCACACTGAGTGGTTCTCACTCTTATTTCTGGGCCTTTGGTGAGTTGATTCTTTTCCTGCCTTGTTACAGCCTTTAGCACCAATGAGCAAGATAAGGATAACTGGAACGGGCAGCTGAAGCTTCTACTGGAGTGGAACCAGCTGGACTTAGCCAATGATGAGATTTTCACCAATGACCGCCGGTGGGAGGTAAGCAAGAAACTCTCCTGGGTTATTCCAGTGTTGGGTCTGGACATTGGTCTGGGCGATAGCTGGTCCCTTTCCATGAAGGTCTACAATACTGAATCTCTTAAAGGATTGTTCTGTTCTGGAGTATCAGGATTGCTGAGCCTTCATTTTCTGCAGCATCGGATCATAACCTTGACTTAGTAGGTTTGTTGTGAAGAGATAATAAAAATAAATGGTGTAAAATAATAACAACTCCACAAGGCCTTCAGCCACAATGTGAGGGTGATTCCACATCTGGGGGCAGAGATGCAGATCCCCTCCTGGATGTGCGTGGGCAGAAGTATGGGAAAAATATACGGTGGGTGAAATATATGGGAAAAGTATATGGTGATTGAAAGTAGCTCAGCTACAAATCAAGACAGCGGCACTCTTTTTGCTTCTTGCCCCCGCCTGGCTAGCCAAATTCTGATTAGAGAACTGTCCATAGTAAGATGCATGGGAGACAAATAGAATACTGACACTACCCAGTGAATGTGTTAGAGCAGGGGCCCATGGCCTGTGAGGAACTGGGCTGCGCAGCCGGAAGCGAGCCGTGGGTGAGCGAGCGAAGCTTCATCTCTATTTACACCAGCTCCGTCACTTGCATTACCGGCTGACCTCCACCTTCATCTGATCAGCAGTGGCATTAGATTCTCACAGGAGCACGAATCCTATTGTGAACTGCGTGTGCGAGGGATCTAGGTCCTGTGCTCCTTATGAGAATCTAATGCCTGATGATTTGTCACTGTCTCCAGTCACCCCTAGATGGGACTGTCCAGTTGTAGGAAACAAGCTCAGGGTTTCCACTAATTCTACCTCATGGTGAGTAGTATAATTGTTTAATTATATATTACAATTTAATAATAATAGAAATAAAGTGCATAATAAATGTTATGCTCTTGAATCATCCCTAAACCATCTCCCCAACCTGGTCCATGGAAAAAATGTCTTCCAGGAAACTGGCCTCTGGTGCCCAAAAGATTGGTGACTGCTCCCTTCCAGCTAGAAACTCAGATCTCTCCTCACCAGATGAGCATCTTTAGCATGGAAGTTGCGCATACAATAAAAACTGTTCTTTATTTTCCAGCAGACTGCATTTTCTCACTTTTCAATGTGATTAGTGTTTTAGGATTGCATTTTCCAGCAGTATCCTCCTGTGTACAAGTAAAGTGCAGTCAGCCCTAGGAGGCTTGTTCAGTGAAAACAATTATGAACCATCACACTCAGTTTTATAAGGCTGCTTCTTTGTTTTCAGCATTTCCAAATTAATTTAAGTCATTAGGGGGCTGTGAGAATATACATAATTTTATACATGTATGTATAGATTTGAAGGTGCATATATTTCATAACTTGCGGTCTTGGTAGACAGGGTCAGAAAACACTTTCAGGCCTGTTGTCATACAATCAAAGACTAAGACTTGATTTACATTAACACGTGATCAATTTTAATGAGTGCAGCATAAATAAAGTAATGGCTTATGAATTTTTAAATTATTCATTTCTTTAGCGAACATTACATTATGTATGGTGTTTGCAGTACAATGAACCCTACTGCACATTGCAAGGCTTTAATTTGTGGAGGGGAAGGGGAACTCTAAGTAGCTCTAGTCAGTTGATTCATAAATGAATTACTGTGTGTGAAATGTTCTACTTAAGTGAGGTCAGAGGGTACAAATGAGCTTAGGCACATCGTGAATGGTACATTTAATTTTATTAACTCAGCTAAAGATGGTTAAGGGTGAAGGGCATAATGGCTAAGAGAATGGACTCTGGGGCCAGCCCATTTCCATGACTTTGGGCAAATTACTTAACCTCCCTATGCCTCGGTTTCCTCCTACAGTGGCCTGTCAGAGCCAGCTTGTACTTGCTTGCAAGAGCTGACTGGTAAATTTTTAGAGATTGTGTGAGCTGGTTGTTAAATACAGTCATTATTAATCAGTTATACTTGGCTAGTCATGGCAGCTCATGCTTGTAAATCTCAGCACTCTGAGGCCAAGGTGAGAGGATTGCTTGAGTTCAGGAGTTTGAAATCAGCCTGGACAACAGGGCAAAAACCCATCTCTATGAAAAAAAAAAAATACAAAAATTAGCTGGGTGTGGTGGCAGAAACACATCGTCCAGGCTGCTTGGGGGGATGAGGTGGGAGGATCGCTTGAGCCCAGGAGGTAAAGGTTGCAGTGAACTGAGATCACACCACTGCTCTCCAGCCTGCACAACAAAGCCAGATTGTGTCTCAAGAAGAAAAAACAAACCCCAAAAATGAAAAAGTATTAATTATTTAAATTTAGAATTACATAGATTTTATATAATTCTATAGAACTGCAAAGGTAATAAGTAATCAAAACATATCATTTTCTAATTCTTTGGCTACATTTACTATTACCTTTGCTCTGAAGGCCAATGGTGCGTATTCTACCTGGAAGCTGGAGACGCTATTCAAGGGTGAGCCACTCCACATCTCTTCCCGATTCCGTGTTTAGTGATGCCACATTGGCAGCTGAAACTTGGCCACAATGGGAGTATCTACACCATAGGAATCATCCAACACTACAAATGAGGGCTTCTGTTTTCTTTGAGAGAGCCAGTGGTTCAGTGTTTACCGGCACTCAACAGCTCATCTGAAAGCGGAGAGGCGAAAATAGCCGTATTTATCTCTTTGGGCTGTTAACGACGATGAAATCAGATAATGTTTCTAAAGTGCTTACAACATTGGCACATATGAAGCATTATTTGTTTAAAAATAAAAATCTCTGGAATACTGATAATATTTCTGTGATCTTTGACAGGGCACCAGGCAGTTTCCCTGTGTTAGTTTACTTGCCCATTACACCAATCCACAGCATGGATGATCCCATTCATGCTTATTAAATCAGGGCTTCATGGATGTCATGGCAGGGGGAGTTGCTAATAGATTTTTGAGGACCTGCTGTGAACTTGAATCTCTGAGAGGATCTTGACCGGTGTTAGCTTATTTCATCCTCGTAACCATCTACCTCTTAGAAGAGCAAACTGAGGCTCAGAGACACAATATTCCAGGTTACGTGGCTAGAAAATGGAAGAATCAAGTTTTGAAAGCAAAGATGTGACTGACAGGAAAGCCTTTCCCCATATGCTGGTGGTTCTCCAGATGTGGGTCCTGGATTAGCGGCAGCCTGGGAATAACATGGGCACTTGTTACCTTGCAAATCACCAGGCTCCACCTCAGACTTGCAGAAATTCTGCTGTTGACTCCCAGCAATCTGCATTTACTGGGCTCTCCATGTGGTTCTGATTGAAGTTTGAGTACCACTGCCCTACGCTAGCAAGTGTGTGACCAGTGGAAAGGCCAATGGATTTATTTATTATTTTTTTTTTTGAGACGGAGTTTCGCTCTTGTTACCCAGGCTGGAGTGCAATGGCACGATCTTGGCTCACCGCAACCTCCGTCTCCTGGATTCAAGCAATTCTCCTGCCTCAGCCTCCTGAGTAGCTGGGATTACAGGCACGCGCCACCATGCCCAGCTAATTTTTTTTTTTGTATTTTTAGTAGAGACGGGGTTTCACCATGTTGACCAGGATGGTCTCGATCTCTTGACTTCGTGATCCACCCACCTCGGCCTCCCAAAGTGCTGGGATTACAGGCTTGAGCCACCGCGCCCGGCTGGCCAATGGATTTAGAAAGAAAAGTGAATATGAAGAACACCCCCTCTGAGGACAGAGGAGAAAGCATAGCTGCCATCTTGCGAGGGGTAACCCTCTCTTCCCCTGCTGAGCCTTGCTGCATCCACAATGTGGGAACCCAAGGGACCCATGACAATGCCTTCTCTAGGCAATGTGTGATCCCCATGAGACCAACATTAGGCAGAACAAAACTCATGAATGCTGCTGTGGGCAGAAGACATCCATTTAGACCAGCGATCAGGCACACAATGTAAGAGAGTGAGTGGGCCGGTGGGTCCTAGGGAGGAGCAGTGGGACTGTGGGGAGCAGGAGATCCCAGGCTCCGGGAAGCAGCTGCCCCTTGGCTTACGCTGGTGGTTTCCATGTTGTCAAAGTTGTTGGTTTTTACTCTTTTTTTTTTTTTTTAGACAGAGTCTCGCTCTGCTCCCAAGCTAGAATGCAGTGGTGCAATCTTGGCTCACTGCAACCTCTGCCTCCAAGGTTCAAGTGATACTCCTGCCTCAGCCTCCCAAGCAGCTGGGATTATAGGCACTTGCCACCACAACCAGCTAATTTTTGTATTTTTAGTAGACATGAGGTTTCACCATGTTGGCCAGGCTGGTCTTGAACTCTGACCTCAAGTGATCCTCCCAGCTCGGCCTCCAGAAGTGCTGGGATTATAGGGGAGAGCTGCCACACCGACAGTTTTTACTTTTAACTCTTTAGGATTTTAATGCTGGAAATGTAGATTTTGATGAACTTTGTAATTTTTAAATGTTGGCAATAAACATTTGGAATAAAATTGTAAGAAATGCTATGGAGGACACACAGAACACATCTGAGAGCTGGAGTGGCCTGTAGTCCACTAGGTTGTGTCTGAAGTAAACATTAATGATCTTTTTTTTTTTTCCTTGAGATAGGTCTTGTTCTGTCACCCAGGCTGGAGTGCAGTGGTGTGATCTTGGCTCACGGCAACCTCTGCCTCCTGGGTTCAAGCAATTCTTGTGCCTCAGCCTCCCAAGTAGCTGATACTACAGGTGTGTGCCACCACACCTGGCTAATTTTTTATTTTAATTTTTTTAGTGGAGACAGAGTTTCACCCTGTTGGCCAGGCTGGTCTTGAACTCCTGACCTCAAGTGGTTTGCCCTCCTTGACCTCCCAAAATGCTTATGGTCTTTCTTAAGATTCTCAGTAAGTTCCTAGGGGCTAAGTTTTGTCAGAAGCCCAGAAAGTAGAGCTAGAGATAGATAATAATGAAGTATAATTGTCAAGTGTTCCAGTGACTTACTGGTAGTAACATGACCAGACATTGGCTTGGTGGCATGTGGTTTGCCTATAGTTTGATGCATTCCATTTTAACATCTGTATATCAGAATGCAGTCACCATAATAGAAGGTTCCTGGGCATCTGTGAAGGGGAGAAGATCCCACAGTGCAGCATACAGACAACACTGGTGGCTGGGTCCTAAATGGTGACTATTATCAACTTCAGAGAGGTGGTTCCAATGGTACTACTATCCCTGCACCCCCACCCCCTGATTGCTTCCTCCATGCCTGATACTGGGGAAAATTTTTGACCAATGTCATCTCTACGTGGGTGTATTTATCTCCACTTTAGCAAGGGGCTAAGTCACATTCAAGTTCATGTCTAGCTGATGATAAAGATTTCACCATGCCATCCCTGTTTAGAAGTTTGAACTGTAGACACTGCTTTAAATGTGTCTCAGAGATTCTGGTACATTGTGTCTTTGTTCTTATTCATTTCAGAGAACATCTTTATTTCTGCCTTCATTTCATTATTTATCCAGTAGTCATTCAGGAGCAAGTTGTTTAGTTACCATGTAGTTGTGCAGTTTTTGAGTGAGTTTCTTAATCCTGAGTTCTAATTTGATTGGACTATGGTCCGAGAGACTGTTTGTTATGATTTCCATTCTTTTGCATTTGCTGAGCAGTGATTTACTTTCAGTTATGTGGTCAATGTTAGAGTAAGTGTGATGTGGTGCTGAGAAGAATGTATGTTCTGTGGTTTTAGGGTGGAGAGTTCTGTAGACGTCTATTAGGTCAGCTTGGTCCAGATCTGAGTTCAGGTCCTGGATATCCTTGTTAATTTTCTGTCTTGTTGATCTGTCTAATATCGACAATGGAAGGTTAAAGTCTCCCACTACTATTGTGTGGGGGTCTAAATCTCTTTGCAGGTCATTAAGAACTTGCTTTATGTGTCTGGGTGCTCCTGTATTGGGTGCATATATATTTAGGATAGTTAGCTCTTCTTGTTGCATTGATCCCTTTACCATTATGTAATACCCTTCTTTGTCTCTTTTGATCTTTGTTGGTTTAAAGCCTCTTTTATCAGAGACTAGGATTGCAAACCCTGCTTTTTTTTGCTCTCCATTTTCTTGGTGAATCTTCCTCCATCCCTTTATTTTGAGCCTGTGTGTGTCTTTGCACATGAGATGTGTTTCCTGAACACAGCGTATCGATGGGGCTTGACTTTTTATCCAGTTTGCCAGTCTTGTCTTTTGATTGGGGCATTTAGCCCATTTACATTTAAGGCTAATATAGTTATGTGTGAATTTGATCCTGCCATTTTGATGCTAGCTGGTTGCTTTGCCCATTAGTTGATGCAGTTTCTTCATAGTGTCGATGGTCTTCACAATTCGGTATGTTTTTGCAGTGGCTGGTACTGGTTGTTCCTTTCCATGTTTAGTCCTTCCTTCAGGAACTCTTGTAGGACAGGCCTGGTGGTGACGAAATCTCTCAGCAGTTGCTTGTCTGCAAAGGATTTTATTTCTCCTTCACTTATGAAGCTTCGTTTGGCTGGATATGAAATTCTGAGTTGAAAATTCTTTTCTTTTAGGATGTTGAATATTGGCCCCCACTCTCTTCTGGCTTGTAGGGTTTCTGCCGAGAGATCTGCTGTGAGTCTGAAGGGCTTTCCTTTGTGGCTAACTTGACCGTTCTCTCTGGCTGTCCTTAGCACTTTTTCCTTCATTTCAACCCTGGTGAATCTGACGATTATGTGCCTTGGGGTTGCTCTCCTTGAGGAGTATCTTTGTGGTATTCTCTGTGTTTCCTGTATTTGAATGTTGGCCTGCCTTGCTAGTTTGGGGAAGTTCTCTGGGATAATGTCCTGAAGAGTGTTTTCCAATCTGGTTTCATTCTCCTTGTCACTTTCAGGTACACCCATCAAATGTAGATTTGGTCTTTTCACATAGTCCCATATTTTCTGGAGGCTTTGTTCATTTCATTTCACTCTTTTTTCTCTAATCTTGCCTTCTCTCTTTATTTCATTGAGTCGATCTTCAGTCTCTGATACCCTTTCTTCTGCTTGATCAGTTTGGCTATTGAAACTTGTGTATGCTTCACCGAGTTCTCGTGCTGTGTTTTTCAGCTCCATCATGTCATAATCCTCTGTTGTGTTAAAATGGAAAAAAAGATAAGCTTCATTCTGAAGCCAGGATTGAAAGAGCAGTTGAAGATATTACTCTGTGGCTGGAAATATGGTGCAGCTGAGGAAGAAAGATGCCTAGTGTTTCCCATACTATATTTTGGTAGTATTGTCAGTACTCTCACTGTTCTTTCTCCTTAGTCGGCTGACCTTCAAGAAGTCATGTTTACGGCTCTCATAAAGGACAGACCCAAGTTTGTCCGCCTCTTTCTGGAGAATGGCTTGAACCTGCGGAAGTTTCTCACCCACGATGTCCTCACTGAGCTCTTCTCCAACCACTTCAGCACGCTTGTGTACCGGAATCTGCAGATCGCCAAGAATTCCTATAATGATGCCCTTCTCACGTTTGTCTGGAAACTGGTTGCAAACTTCCGAAGAGGCTTCCGGAAGGAAGACAGAAATAGCCGGGATGAGATGGACATAGAATTCCATGTAGGTACTGGGAGAGTTGCATGCTTGAATTCTCGGATATTTTGAGGCTTCTCTCATAAGATATCTCCATTTTCCCTACTCCCTATCTTATTGCCATAAAGTACTTAACACGTTGACATTGTTCATTTTTTCAACTCCCTTTACTTAAGATAAGGCATCTGTCTATAGGGTGAATCTCTGCTATTTCTAATGTCTTGCTTTATGCTCTATACTTTAGTATATTTCAGACTAGTTGCAATTTTTCTTTTTTCTTTTTCTTTTTGAGATGGAGTCTCTCTCTGTCACCCATGCTGGAGTGCAGTGGCCCAATCTCAGCTCACTATAACCTCTGCCTCCTGGGTTCGCACAATTCTCCTGCCTCAGCCTTCTGAGTAGCAGGGATTACAGGTGTGCGCCACTATGCCTGGCTAATTTTTGTATTTATAGCAGAGATGCAGTTTCACCATGTTGGCCAGGCTGGTTTGAGCTCCTGACCCCAGGTGATTTGCCCACCTCAGCCTCCCAAGAGTTGGGATTACAGGCATGAACCACCATGCCCGGCCTCAGTTTTTCTTATTTGCAGAACTTGGTGTGGTGTACTTTCTGAAGGTATCCAACAGGGAATAGGGGTAAACATATGGCTGCATGCTCATGTCATAGACCACTGGCCATGATCTGCTTAAAATAGCTTGCTGCCCATGCATGTGAAGGAATGAAGAACTGACAAGGCTTCTTTTGTGAGTAAAGGAGGAAGTGCATATTTCTGAAGGGCTTAATCTGGATATTCACTTGAGACAATTTTGTGGCTGTAACACCTATAATCCTGCAGGACTTCTCATTTTAAGTATAGGAAGCCCTAGTTTCTAGTTGGCAGCATCTGCAACTCTTCACTGAATGTTTGTCCTGATCAGAGCCCAGTGACTGTCAGAAGGTAGTGTATATATACCCCCACTTGAAGGAGCTGACTTTAAGCTTTGTGTTCTACTCTGGCTCCTAGAGTTGGCTAGTGGGGCTGTTCTCTAGTTATCCACCAAGATAATTTGCTTGATAATGCACCTTGTATTGGGTTCCCATTTTTCTGTTATCATTTCCTCACTTCTCTATTGGTTTTCTTGAGATCATGTCCCACATAAACTACTTGCCTCAAATCCTTGTCTCAGATTTCTTCTGGGGAAACCCAAACTAGGTCATTATCTTTTGTAATTATGGGATTTTTGGAGTGTATGTGTGCTGCAAAAATCTAAACGCACTAGATGTTTGCAGGACTTGGAAGTGTTTAAAGAGCCTCTGTTCAACTATATTCATGTTAGATTTCTCTGCAACATGCATAATATGCCTCATGCATTCTACACCTTGGTAAAACCTGTAAAGATGTTGAAAAGGAATATATTATATATAAGCACTTAGTTGTTTTTTATCTGAAAATTTTCTCTTGAAAGATACAGAATGCTGAATAGGAGCTGGGAATTTTTTTTTTTTTCCAGACAGAGTCTTACTCTGTTGCCCAGGCTGGATTGCAGTGGTGCGATCTCTACTCGCTGTATTCTCTGCCTCCTGGGTTCAAGTGATTCCCCTGCCTCAGCCTCCCGAGTAGCTGGGACTACAGGCATACACTACTATGCCTGGCTAATTTTTTGTATTTCAGTAGAGACAGGTTTTCACCATGTTGGCCAGGATGGTCTCAATCTCTTGACCTCGTGATCTGCCTGCCTTGGCCTCCCAAAGTGCTGGGATTATGGGCGTGAGCCATTGCACCTGGCCAGAAGCTGGGATTCTAATTGATATATTAGGCATTGAATCTTTGAATAACAGTCCAAAGAAATAAGCCACAGTTTTATATTGGGATAATTGAACTTAAGCCATAGGAAAGTTGGAATCTAGTTTGAAGAATTTTTTTCTAGAAGAGAAAGAGTTATATGATGAGAAGGAATCGCTTTCTCTCAGCCTGTCAGGAGTCATTCAGTTTTCAAATTGCTCTCAACAATTTTTTCACCCTTTATACATTTTCATCTAGTTGTACTTTGTCTTTTATGACAGATAAAAGATTTGGTGTCAAAATTAGATCACTCAATGAGTTGCAGAGATGAAAATCATATCACTGCACTGTGAAAATGGAGTCATGCACAAAGCCACAGAGCCCTCCAGACGCTAATTCCTAGGGCTTCCTGATCCCAGAACAATTTCCATTTGCACATGCTGATCACATGCTCTAACCCCCCAGGACGTGTCTCCTATTACTCGGCACCCCCTGCAAGCTCTCTTCATCTGGGCCATTCTCCAGAACAAGAAGGAACTGTCCAAAGTCATTTGGGAGCAGGTAAGTGCCCAAGCCCACACCAGATTTACATCAAATGTATGCTTTGTTATAACCGTTCTGATCCTCTCAAAATTCACATGCCTAATATAAAACATCACCAGTGAAATGGGATGTCTGATGTTAGATGAACATGGCCGTGCTTCTGTTCCATGTTGGTGAAGGAGTGCTTGGGAAGGGCAGTCCCTGGAGAACAGTCGGGCTTGGTGGGCAGTCCAGCAGGCACCTGCTTCTCAGGTGTGTGTGGGTGTGTGATTGTTTTCCAAGTGGATGAGGTATTCATTTTTGATTTTTTTAAAATTTTACTTTAGGTTCTGGGGTACATGTGCAGGTCATGCAGGGTTGTGGCATAGGTGCATACATAACCAGGTGGTTTGCTGCCTCTATTCCCTCTTCATCTATATCTGGCATTTTTCCACATGTTATCCCTCCCCCCGCCTCTGCCCCCAGTGCATGATGCTCCTCTCCCTGTGTCCATGTGTTCTCATTGTTCAACACCTGCCTATGAGTGAGAACATGCAGTGTTTAGTTTTCTGTTCTTGTGTCAGTTTGCTGAGAATGACGGTTTCCAGATTCATCTAAGTCCCTACAAAGGACATGAACTCATCATTTTTTATGGCTGCGTAGTATTCCATGGTGTATATGTGCCACATTTTCTTTGTCCAGTCTATCATTGATGGGCATTTGGGTTGGTTCCAGGTCTTTGCTATTGTACACAGGGCCACAATGAACATATCTGTGCATGTGTCTTTATAATAGAACAATTTATAATCCTTTGGGTATATACCCAGTAATGGCATTGCTAGGCCAAATGAAATTTCTATGTCTAGATCCTTGAGAAATCACCACACTGTCTTCCACAATGGTTGAACACTCCCACCAACACTGTAAAAGTGTTCCTATTTCTCCACATCCTCTCCAGCATCTGCTGTCTGCAGATTTTTTAATGATTGCCATTCTAACTAGCATGAGATGATACCTCAATGTGGTTTTGATTTGCATTTCTCTAATGACCAGTGATGATGAACATTTTTTCATAGGTTTGTTGGCCTTAAATATGTCTTCTTTTGAAAAGTGTCTGTTCATATTCTTTGCCCACTTTTGAATGGGTTTGTTTGTTTTTTTCTTGTATATCTGTTTTAGATCTTTGTAGATTCTGGATATTAGCCCTTTGACAGATGAATAGATCACAAAAATTTTCTCCCATTCTGTTGGTTGTTGGCTTGCTCTAATGATTGTTTCTTTTGCTGCACAGAAGCTCTGAAGTTTGATTTTAAAAATTAATTTCCAGCTTTATCGCATTATGGACAGGAAGTAGGACCTGTAAAAATTCTGCTTTGGAAAGTTTATTGAGAATTTTCCTTGTGATTTAGCATGTAAGATATTTTGTAAATGATTTATGGACACTCACATTATTTTTAGAGGAAAGCTTAGATATTGAATATTGAATTCACACACTCAATGTTAAAGTGACAATGGTCAGGTCTTCTGTGTTCTTGTCCAGGCCTTCCTCAACCTTTGAGCTATTCCAGTATGAGAGTGAATTAGACCTCCCACTATCATGGTCTTACTGTCAGTTTTTCATGGCATTTATCTTAATATTTTTATATGCTAATTCTATGTTCAAGACTCTGAACATATTCAGGTTCCAAGTTATTTTGTGCTCATTAAAAATTTTACTTTGAATCATTATGAATAGTTCCTAGGTTGGGCTTAGGGCTTCTTGACTCCAGAGCAATTTCCATTTGTACATGCTGACCGCATGCTCTAACCCCGCCCAGAAAATACATTCTGTTTCCTGCTTTGCCATGAATACATTCTTGTCAGACATTAACGTTGACTTGACCACTTCAGGGGATTAAGAATAAACCTTAAAATTTTCCATCCCTCCCCCAAAAAAGACTAGGGGCTGCACTCTGGCAGCCCTGGGAGCCAGCAAGCTTCTGAAGACTCTGGCCAAAGTGAAGAATGACATCAATGCTGCTGGGGAGTCCGAGGAGCTGGCTAATGAGTATGAGACCCGGGCGGTCGGTGAGTCCCCAGTACTAGGATGCCTTGGTGGGTGTGGGTCTGCCATATGGCACAGACATTGCCAGCAGCACTCACAGGCTGGGTGGTGGAGGCCTGTGGCATGCCCAAGCTCCCCTGCCTGATGGAGGGCTGCAGATCACAGACCACAGTTCTGGGTGCACAGGCCATAGCAGAAGCCACAAGCTTCTTGGTCCTGGCACATATGGAATTTTCCAAGAATGAACATGGGACATTTTGGGCTCTCTGATCCCATGGCCACCCAGGACCACACGCAGGCCAAGTGCTAAGCAACTCAGGGAGCATTGGAAGTTTTTTTTTTGTTGTTTGGGGTTTTTTTTGGATGCTGTTACAACACTGTGACAGGGCTGAAATTTTACCTGACTTGCACCCTAGCCAGTTAGCCTGCCTGTTTCATATGCACACACTGCCAGAGGACCCAGCCCCTGGGTCTGCGACACTCATGGTTTTTTATGGGAAAGGCAGCAGCCTGAGTAGCTAGCATCTTGGGTTGCTCCCCCTTGCCTCGGTTCCCAAGGGATAGCTCGAATACAGGTTGCCCTGTAGCGCCCTGAAGTTAGGAGACAAGGAGTTTCTATCAGGGCTGCAGCTGAGATTACTTATTGCCTGGAGTGGATGATACTCCACTAAACATTACTCTCCTAGCATGTCTCAGGATGCCTGACTGCTGTTTGCTATTCGGTCCTCAAACAAAGCTTGTCAATGCCCTTTGTCCAGAGGCCCCGATCATTCAGGAAGGTGAGAAATCCGGAACCGATTGCCTCTAAACAACAGAGAGTTTCAGGCCTGCTCACTTTTTTTCCATTTTCACTTGACAGTTTTTAGTTTGCAACGTGGTATTTGCATCCAGGTTTGTTTGTTCAGGGTCTTATCGAATGTAAACATGCTGATGAGTTTAGCTTCTCTGTTTTGGGAAAAGGTGTCTAATTATTTCTTTTAATTTATTAAAAATTCAAAGCAGTTCATTTCTGGATGACCTCAATTAGGCAAAGGCTCCTAATATTTTTACTTAGAAAAAATTTCCTCTGAAGATCTACACTGCAATTTCTTTGTCATTAGGTCATGAAATGTAAGCACACACTAATGCAATAGGTCAGTGTTTCTTACACCTTCTTTTCCCTCTCGGTGCCTTATCTGCAAAGCAAGCTTGCCAAGATGGCATAGAATTCAAATGAGATGGAGGAAGGGCTGCTATGGTTATGGGGGAGTGGGGATGGGGGTGCAGAGGGTCTAGATCCCTTCTCAGTGGCTGAGGCTCTTCTGCCTGAGCCCAGACAGAAGCCCACTAAAGAGAGGGTCTCCCTGTGTCCAGTGCAGCTCAATTCAATGAGCAGTTATTGTCACCTGCTGTCATCAGGAGCTCTGCTGGGTTTGTTGTGCTTTTAAAACATCCTCTTATTCAGTAAGGCATTGTGTTGTGATGGCATTTTTTATGCCTTTTATAAGAATGGACTCATACCCAGGCTATTCTTAGATTCAGGGGTTGGCTGGGGGCGGAAGCAGGACAGTTTCAGGCATGTGCAGCCCTGACGCCAGCTTCTCTCTGTGCTGATGTCGCTGTAGAGCTGTTCACCGAGTGTTACAGCAGTGATGAAGACTTGGCAGAACAGCTGCTGGTCTATTCCTGTGAAGCTTGGGGTGGAAGCAACTGTCTGGAGCTGGCGGTGGAGGCCACAGACCAGCATTTCATCTCCCAGCCTGGGGTCCAGGTAAAACATGCTCAGCCACCAAATCACATGCTCAGAAATGGGCCTTTTATGTCAGATGCTACTAGCAGCATTAAAAAATATTAAAAATGAACCTTATTCTCCAATATAAAAGCCATAGAAGGAGTTGTTTGGTGATGATGTGGGAGATGGCAGAGCACAGGCGTTGGTTGAAAGCCTTGCTTTAAGAGATGGTGCAGGACAAAGAATATTCTTGGAGTTTCCACTTAGCAAACATCACAGCATCATAATTATGAGCTGTGCCTCTGGACCCCACTGCCTGGGTCTCCATCTGCTGTGCCCCTAATGAAGTGTGTGATGATGGGCAAAGTTACATGAGCTCTCTGAGTCTCAGTTTCCTCATCTGTAAAATAGGAAGGTAGCAGATAAAGGGCTATTGTGAGGATTTAAGGAGATTAGATGTGAAAGGCGTTGGTCCTTTATTTAGCTATTACTATTGCAGTTATTATTAGTGACAGCAGTAGAAAAACTCTTGTGAAATGGGTAAAACCAATCTAGAGGTTTCTGCACTGAATTGAACGAAATGCAGTTTGCACCTGGTGTCTCACCCTACAGTGGGGAGCTTTTCACCCTCAGTTCCAGTGGTAGAAATGTGGACATGAGAAAGGGAGGGGGATGGGAAGCGATGAAGGGACCAATGCTTGTCAGCCACATCTGTTACCCACAAGGCCACGTTTCATCTTCACAGCACATGTGGCAATGGGCGTTATCCCATTTCACCAAGGAGGATACGGGAGCTCAGAGAGGTTCTGGAATATCCTTCCAGCTTGCATTGCTGGGAAGTAGCAGCACTGGGTTTGGATCTCATGTTGATTACCCGCAACTTTCATGTCATGGGCTTTCCATTATGTCATACAGCAAAGTGTTTATGAACAAAATCCATTTGCTACTGCAGCTAAGCCAGATTGAATGCGAGCAGTGATCTGTGACAAGGAGCACACAGAGAGGGTCTTGCTATTGCTTGGTTTTAGCCTCTGCTGCAGTGTAGTGGGTATGTGGGTAGGGCAGTGTGATGTAGTAAGGCTGGTGCTGGGGCCGGGGTGTGCCTGGGAGGCTGGGCTGGCTGCCCAGGTGGGCCACACCATGCTCATGGCTTCCTGGGCCCCAAACTCCATCTTGCCTGTGTCCCAGAACTTGGGGTGCTGTGGAGGCTGGCTTTTACTCCTGTCCAGTTCATAGATCATTTCAAACAGATGTCAGGTCATTCATTTCACTGAAAATCTCACTACCAGGCCACAGGACCATCCAGGTCCATCCATCAGCGGACAGCCAGGGAGTTTCCTAGAGTCAGGCTGCGGTGGGTGATCAGAATGCTGCCGGTAACCATGGAACCCAATCCTGTGCTGTTACTTTCTGTGACTGAGGCCTGTCAGTGACACTCAGTGATGGCCTGGCGTGTGCATCACCTCAGAAGAATAGGAGAGTGAGGAAGACCAAGCACCACCTGTCTGTTGCCCACAATCCCTGCACCCCCTCCCAAGAAGCAGACCCCAAAGTGAGGATTTTAATGCCAGGAGTTTATTCTAGAGGTGAACCTGGGAAGCACAGGAGGCGCCAGTGAGACAGGGAAGGGACAGGGACAGACACGATGTGCTGATGATGAGGTTGCCACTGTGGGCAGCCCAGGCTTGACCCGCCAGGGACCTCTGGGAAACTAGAACAGGCTTCAGTGTTGTCTGGCCCAGTGCAAGGCAGTCGGCCATTGACCCCCCAGCTGCAATTGGTTGTTCGTTGAAAGCTGTTCCTGGGCGCCCTGTTCCAGGATGCTAGTCCTCATGGGCCAAGCATGTGCTTGACTGAAGTGGCCCCAGGCGGGGGTCCTCCTCCAAGGGGCAGGGCAGGTGCCCAGGGCCGGAGGGGTTCATGCCAGTCCCAGCCCTCACAGCCAGCACCGAGAAGACCTTGGATTTCCCTTTTCCTCTGCTCCTGAGAAACACTAACCTCCGTCTGCTTGACGGGCTATTTTTTGAGAGATATGGGTCCTTTGATGTGGTTGGGTCTATGCTCCCCTGCTGGCTCTCAGAGCTGCTGTGAGTTTTCTAATTGCCACCTTCGTGGAAGTCTCTTCTGTGTCAATGTCAAGGGTTGATACAGTCTGGGGAGAGCTTTTTCATGCATTTCAGCCTGAATTGATGTCAAGACACCAGCAGTCTCCCCCTTCCCATCTTCCTTTTAGTTTCCTGACAAAAGCATCACCTGTCTTTCTCCAGAAATGAATCCTTGGGGACCCTACAGGTAGTATTGATTGGCTGTGCCTGTGAATTTGTGATCTCTGAAGACAAAGGAGCCAGAAAGATTACTTGTTTAAACTTCTGTAATAAAAATGCGAGTTGGATAAACTAGGCTAATTGAATTTGAACATATACAACTATTACTTTAAAGCGCACATAATCCAACTCAGAAAAAGACTTAAAATACAACCAAGTTTTGAATTGTTTTTATCACTGCCCCTTAAAATGCAGGCAGTGGGTATAAAAAAATAAGGAACTTAGTTCAAAAGCTATATATTTTGGGGAAAGTGTGGGGCAGGGGAGAAAGTTTGCATGCCATCCTGCATATAATTGTGTTAATAAGGACCTTGTTCTCTGTCTTTGTTTCCCTGTAGAATTTTCTTTCTAAGCAATGGTATGGAGAGATTTCCAGAGACACCAAGAATTGGAAGATTATCCTGTGTCTGTTTATTATACCCTTGGTGGGCTGTGGCTTTGTATCATTTAGGTACAAACCAAGGCACATAATTGTGTGTGAGTGTGTGTGCCAGTGTGTGTATGTGCATCCACATGTGTGTGCTCTTGTGTAAATGATTACAAAGCCTGGAACTTACGATGCTCACATTGGTGCCTATGAATTTCTTCTGGTATCTCCCCTGACTTTTCCTGGATTTCCTCTTAAGTGGGTAGAGGTGGGGCTGTGTCTTTAATATCTGGGGCAGAATTTGGATTTGTTAATTGCAAAATGCCAAGGATTGAACTGGGGTTGGGTCCAACTTAGGACACGGTTTTGATTCCTTGTCTTCCTCCTGACTATGGGTCTGCATTTACCTATGTTTGCAAGGAGGTGAGAGCTGTGCCCGTCCCACGCTTGCAAGGACGCTGACGATGCCCTTATCTCTGGGTCCAGGAAGAAGCCTGTCGACAAGCACAAGCAGCTGCTTTGGTACTACGTGGCGTTCTTCACCTCTCCCTTCGTGGTCTTCTCCTGGAACGTGGTCTTCTACATCGCCTTCCTTCTGCTGTTTGCCTATGTGCTGCTCATGGATTTCCATTCGGTGCCACACCCCCCTGAGCTGGTCCTGTATGCGCTGGTCTTTGTCCTCTTCTGTGATGAAGTGAGACAGGTAGGACGGCCATGACAGTGGGAACCCCCTTGCTTCCTCTGTGGGAGGCATCTTTTTAAAGCTGAGAGGAGTGGAAGTTGCTTCTGAAGTTCAAAAGTCATCATTTCCCCAAAATAAATGTTCTAGGTAGGTGCCAGTCCATGAGGATGAAGGTGCATTTTCACACCCTCAGTAATTCAATAAGATCTAGTACCAAGTTTACTCTTTGCTCTCTCATGAATGCTGATTGATAGAGACGAATTAGTCAGGAATGGGGTTGTGTTTGAAGAGAAGACAGACCCTGGATGGTAAACCCAGTGCCGTCGTCAGGAGTGGTTTGTGTTCCTGCTGTGACCGTGGTGAGTGGCAGGGAGCTGGCAGGACTTTTGAGCTAAGAGCATCTTAAGGCACAGCGTGTCAGAGTGACAGTGCTTTAAGTCATGTAACTCCCTGTGGGTTTCAGGGAGCTAGTGTCAATAATTCATGGTGCTTTTCTGCAGTTTCTTGGACCTTCATTTTTTGGCATCCTCTCTCTACCGTTGAATCCATAACTTTATCAGACCTCATGTGTAGCAGGTGCATGATTCGTAATTGTTGAAGAAACCAATGTTGATCGTGAAGGTGCTGTTATCCCTAAACCATTATGAAAAGTCATCCCAGGAAATCCTTTCACACTTAGCAGTTTATAAATGGTTTCAGAACTGCTGTTGCTGTCACTATTGTCCCCTCTGAGCCTAAACGCAAAAATATATCAACTCAGCAAGTGTGTGCTTGGTACTTACAGTTTCCAAGGTACAACACCACATGCTACAAGAGATCTGGGGGACACATCATGCTGTTCTTGCCTTTACAGAGTCACTGACTCTTACAAGAATCCTAAGTTCTCTTAAACTTTCATGCCAACGCTGACAGACATTTTTTTGGTGACTTCTAGCAGTCCTGGTTGAGAAAGATTCCAAGGGTCTGTCTGTCCTTAGTGGGAGAGTGTTTTGATTGATTAGTGATGTCTGCCGTGGGTGTGGCCTGTGGGAAAAGTCCTGGACCGGTGCCCTGTAGCTGCCTTTCCTTGCCCAGTAGGTCTGAGGTGCAGATGGGGAATGGAGCTGGGGTGGAGGTGGAGGAAGCATAAGTTAAATGACTCATGTGAGAGTTGAACAGCAGGATTATCAGGCCTTTACCTACCAGCTACTCTTCCCCAAGGACAGGGCCCGGCTATGTGCAAGGGATTTCCCTGAGTTCGGATCAGCCCCATGAGAGTCCACACACTGCCCTGGTAAGTCACTGCCCCGCCCAGGCCATGCCCTCAGGGTTAGTCTGCAGGGCTGCCATGATGAAGCATCATAGACCACGAGGCTTAAATAACAGAAATTCATTGCCTTATGATTCTAGAGGCCAGACGTCTGAGATCAAGCTGTCGGCAGAGCTGGCTTCCTCTGAAGGCTGTGCAGGAGACTGTCCTGGCCTCTCCTCTGGCTTCTGGCAGCCGGCTGGCATGCTTCACTGTTCCTTGGCTTGTCAATGCATCACTGGTCCCTGTCCTCATGTGTGACTCCCGCATGAGTGATTGTGTCCAAATTTCCTCTCTTCCTGGGGACATTGGTTGTACTGGATCAAGGGCCAGTCTACTTCAGCATGACTTCCTCTTTACTTAATTCGTTATATATGCAATGACCCTGTTTCTGAAAAGTGTCATATGCAAGGTACTGGGGGTTAGGATTTCCACGTTTGAATTTTCAGGGACACAATTTAACCTACAACGAATCTCTTTCTTTTAGCTGCCATCTTCTACTTCCTACCTCTGTGTTTTGGCTTGCTATGTATGTGTCAGCAGCAGCGAGGGGATGGAAATATTCTATTTGAGGGAAGCAGAGAAAGACTGAAGGAGATTCAGCATTTAAAAAAAGCGTAGGCCCAGACCAGAGTGAGAAAGTGAGGGAAGCAACCCTCAACCAGCTAGGAGCCTTGGAGCCACGGTCCGGGTGCTCACCCTGGATGAGGTCTCTCGTTTTTCCTTTTCCTGAACTGGCATGGTTTCCTCCACTCTCACTTGAGACCACGACTGAGACCCTTTTCAAAGGCACTTCACGGAGAAAAAGACAGCATCCTCAGTTTAGCTTTTGCAAGAGGGAGGGCTGAAAGAGTGAGATTGGGAGCTTCGTGGTGCTGGACAGGGAAGAGCCCCAGCACTCCACCTCTTATCCCCTCTGAGAGGCTGGTCGATGTCTTGTCACAGACTGGGAAAGACTGGGACAGTGCCTGCCCCAAGAGTGGAGTAAGTGCCAACAGGTTTTGACTGGTCTGTGGAAATTGGTAGCCTTGGAGGGCGGCCCGCTGGTTGGCAGGCCTTTTCTGGCACAGCCCATTGGAGAGGCAGCTGGACCACCCGGGAGGTCACATAGGCCTCCAGCCCTTGGTGGTGACTCACAGGCAGGAACCTGAGCTCTATGGGGGCAGCAGAGTTTGCCAGAAGAGGCACGGGGTCTGTAGGAACTGGAGCAGCACACTGCATGACTCAGGTGACCAGCCTGACATCTCAAAGGTAGCCAACGAATAGAATGGAGTGACAATGGATTCATAGCCTGGTGGGGAAATGAGTCATGAGCACAAATAAGTGAGAGAGAGAGAGAGAGAGAGAGAGAGAGAGAGAGAGAGAGAGAAACAGAGAGAGACAGAGACGGAGAGAGACAGAGGAGAGAAATGTGGAGGTGGGGAGGGAGAAAAAAACCAGCCGGAATTGCACATGGCTGGTACAGTAGTAAATTACTGGGGAAATGAGTCATGAGCACAAATAAGTGAGAGAGAGAGAGAGAGAGAGAGAGAGAGAGAGAGAGAGAGAGAGAGAGAAACAGAGAGAGACAGAGACGGAGAGAGACAGAGGAGAGAAATGTGGAGGTGGGGAGGGAGAAAAAAACCAGCCGGAATTGCACATGGCTGGTACAGTAGTAAATTACTGAATTTTTATGACCTGCAAGAGGTTATTTAGAGAATAAGAGGATGGAGGCCTGGCATGGTGCCCTAGTGCCTCTCTTCTTGCATCAGCTCCACTGAGAGGTTCCTTTGAGCTTTTCCACCTCCTAACACATACTCTGTTCTTGCTCAGAATTATGTGGCATGGGAATGATTTGATTTAGTTGTTTATTTCTTATTCATTTGGTCCCCAGGGGCTAGCACAGGAGCTGGCACTGACATGCTTCTGACAAGCCTGTGTGTTTTTAGTAAATGCGTTGATAAAGCAAGGTCTTCATAATTCAACCCAAGAGCTGTGTGCCCTGGGATGGCCATGGTAACACTCAGGAGACCAGTGCTGGGGAGCTGGAGAGGAACCTGCCCACCACCCCACATGCAGGTGCTCAAGGGTGTTCTCTGGGGCGCTCTTTTTTGGCCTCTACTCAGAATGATTGGTGAAAAGTCCAAAGTCTTTTTTCTGCTACTTTTTACCCCTCACGCTCCCAAACATTTCTCTACCTGTCCCTGCCCCTGCCCCCCATGCTGCATGAAGGCACAGAAGCCGCTGCTGTGCCAGACAGTGACTCCTTCAGGCATCGAAAGAAACCAGGGGCCTGGTGCAGTGGCTCACGCCTGCTATCCCAGCACTTTGGGAGGCCGAGGCAAGTGGATCACATAAGGTCAGGAGTTCGAGACCAGCCTGGTCAACATGGCGAAACCTCGTCTCTACTCAAAATACAAAAATTAGCCAGGCATGGTGGTGTGCGCCTGTAATCCCAGCTACTCTGGAGGCTGAGGCAGTAGAATCATTTGAACTCTGGAGGCAGAGGTTGCAGTGAGCTGAGATCGCACCACTGCACTCCAGCCTGGGTGACAGAGCGAGACTCCTTCTTAAAAAAAAAAAAAAAAAAGAAAAGAAAAGAAACCAGGAAGCCGAGAGAGAGGACTTGTCCTGGGTTGCTTTGGAAGGCAGACCTTGGCCTGGATGGAAGCTGCAGGGAGATTTGTCTTGGCTTCATCCAAATATTTCATTCCTGCATTCTTCCTCTGAAGAGATATTTCACCCCTACTTTGTGCCACACACTGTTCTAGACAGCAATGGACCAAACAGACAAAGATCTCTTCCCCTATGGAGAATTCTACCAGTTTGTGATGATTTCTGGGAGCTTTCAAGGAGAGGAGATGAGCATCAGCAAGCAGCACTAAGTGGGCGAGTCTAACATTTAGTGGGAGGTTGGCCCAGAGGACTTGCAACAGTAAAATCTGAAGTCTGTAAATCACAGACATCTCTGTACCAATTTCCTATGTGCATTTAGCTCCTAAGTCATCTGTTCGGGTCATGCAGGAGGGGACTCAGGAGAGGTACATTTTCCTTGGAGAAAGGTCCTGGGCAGGGTTAGCATGAGGTGTTTTTGCTCAGGGAGGGCACAGGGCAGGGACAGGGAGTGGGAGTAGATGGGGGGAGGGGCACAGGAGCACTGGGAAGGACTCTGGGCTGTAATTCCTGGGGCCTGTGGGAGGAAGGGATGATCATTGGGTCTGGCTGAGCCCCCACCTCATCTGTCTGCCTTCATCATGGGTGGCACTGGATATGGGGCGATGCTTACTCAGTATCTCCTTTTGCTCTTTTTAACAACTATCTTTGAATGGGCCACTTTTTTTTAATTGTAGTGATATATTTTACCAAAATAATAATAATAATAATAATAATTATTATTTTTTGAGGGGAGCACTACACACTGGGGTCCATTAGGGGGAAATGGGGGAGGGACGAGGGGGTGGGGAGGTGGGGAGAGATAGCATGGGGAGAAATGACAGATACAGCTGAGGGGAAGGAAGGCAGCAAATCACACGGCCATGTGTGTACCTATGCAACAATCTTGCATGTTCTTCACATGTACCCCAAAACCTAAAATGCAATTAAAAAAAAAAGAATGGGCCACTTTTAATTCAGCAATTCTGGGTATGAAAGCAACAGTATGGGAAGCACCCTGTGCTCAGGGTCACCCTGTGTTCCAGGGTGGCTTGGTATTCGAGGGCTGTACCAGCCTTACAGTGCGGATTCTGCGACATGAACAGGTCTGTAGAACATAACCATGGAGATTCTCATCGTTAAGAGAATCTGACACTCGGGGTCGCTGTTTCTCTTCTGGTCTTCACACTCATGCATTTGACATCCTAAATGGGGATTGTTTTCCTCTAAGAAACAGTTCTGCTGGCCTGGTGCTGTCTTAATTAACCTAGTTCACACTCGCTAGGAAAAAAAACCCAAGCAGGGTGTTACCTGGTTTAGATCGTGTCTGGGTGTCAAAAAGCCGCGCTCTTTCGTGTGTGCCGGTGTCGTCCCTTTGCCTGAATGCAGATGTCGAAATGCTGCTGCGGAATTTTGAAACGAGGCAGTCAATAAGTGCACATACAGTTGCTAAATCATGCTTGGGTCTGTTAAATAGACATTGGGGATGTTTATTGAAAATGGGACAAGTCCCATCATGCCTTCACAGAGGGCACCTCTCAGTCTTCAGGCATGTCAAATCCCCAAATCCTGACAGATATGTTCAAACACGGTCCTGGGATTTTGTGAATGCAGCCTATCGCTGGCATTCCGCTCAGAGAAGAGGCTTCTTTCCCCTTAAAAACATGTGTTCTTCTTGTGATGGCACCTTGGAGGCTCAGAATTGACCTATCTCAGATGTCTCTCTTCGCGTAGGCTAGGCTTCTGAAGGTCTGGGCTGAGGTTGGGCTGAGGGAAGTGCCAGTCTCCCAGTGCCTACCTGCCTCCCAGACCAGGGCATTAAGTGCGGAGCTAGCAGCAGGGGGGGCCTTTCCCAATCCCCCACATCTTACCAGGCACCAGAAGAATAAATGGTTGTTGGCGAGTGGTAGTTGGGGCTGCTAGCACCAGCCAAGCGGACAGTTCCTGTGGCCTCCCCCAGGGAGCCTGCCTTGGTTTCTGAGCCTAGGCAGAATGTTTGAACTTCGTAATTACGGTGACAAGAATGTTGACAATACATTAAGGGATATAAACCAGGTGAACTCCTTAGTTGAATTTTGTCATTGATCACTGAGGAATTAGCAGATCTCTTGTTACTGTCCTGAGGTGATAAGAATGGTTATTGGCAGAGACCATTGTAATACAAATAAAAATATCCAATGCATTTTAGCTATATGGCAAGATGTCTCTGTTTCACCACAATTTTTGTCCATTTTTACTTTATTCATTTTTTAAAATCACAAAGTAAAAAAGATTGTCACAAGTGGGACTATATAAAGAATTATCATGCCCAATCTAGATTAAAATCTTCCACAACCTTCTTCATGCTCAGAAAGTTATGAACGTATGCAGGTGTTTTGTTTTAATCCAAATAGAATCATACTGTGTTCATCACCCTACAATTTGCTTTTTTTTTCCCAGAATTTCTCATGGGCTTTCCTACAAGTTAATCTTAGACATAGATCACTTTTTTAGCCTAGTTTCTTGTAAAGACACGTATTTCACAGAAATGGAATATTATATTGTGTGTGTGTGTGTGTGTGTGTGTATGTGTATGTGTGTGTGTGCTTTTTAAGTTCAGCCTTTTTTCCTTTTTTGTTAGTCTCTCTACAGACTTTCTCATTCTTTACTGTAAAGACAAGGCCTCTCAAGAGGTGTTAATAAACTTCTGTGTCTCTTTCTGCTTTTATTTTGCCCATGTACTATGCACACACTGTGTTACATCAGATCTGAGACGTCATTTTTTTTTTCACATTTTAACATCTCTGAAACTGCAATTTCTTACAACCTGAGATTTAATGAAATAAGGTAAGCATATGTATGTTTGGGAGCTTTTTCCTTCATTCTTTGTTTTACAAAAACGAGATTCTGTTTCCCATACATTTCTGCATTTTGCTTTCTCTTTTACTTTGTGGAAATCTCTCCAAGAAACTGACATCACTCTGTTCCTTTTCAAAAACATGATTGTAATATATTTAATATTCCTTTAATGATAGACTACATCTTTTTTCTAGATTATGCTTTTCCCTGCAACAGAAGTGCTGCAATAGATATCTTATACACTGATTTTAAAAAAAGAGTTTAGTCTTTACACAGTGAGTGGGCTGTTGACACACCCCATGGCACTGCTCCCACCTGGGGGATTTTCACATTTCCTGGGTACTTGATTTCATAGTGCCCTCACCCTCTTGGCCTACTCAACTTGCTATTCGAATTTACAAATGAAGGAAAGGAAATGCTTCTTGAGAAATTAATGATGTGTCTTGAATCCCTTCCACATCTGAGATTGTAGCATTTCTGTGGGCTCTGAAGCAGAGTGATGTGGGGAGAAGCAACTGACTCAGGCTCAGAACCGTGAGGTCTGCCACTTGCTGAGCAAGTTCCTTGGCCTCCCTAGGCCGTGGTTTCAACAGCAAAGTAGGAAATCTGATATCTGAATATCAGATGGGCTCCTGTTGGTGAGTTCATTTAGTAAAGTTAAGAAGTACCATGTTGCTTTAGTGGCATTTCTTTGGTGGTGTTTTTTCTGCCTTGCACAGGTGGTGGTTTCCTTACTTGAATTCACTTGGGGCCTTGGTCTTATCCTCATGCCAGTCTTCGTGACATTTCTTCTAAATGTGTTTGACATCTGTCTTTCCCATGAGACAGTAGATTCCTTGAGAATCAGCATTGCACCTAATCCAATGTTTCTGTGCTCTGGGAGCCTGGCACAGGTGTTTGGAATTCCATGTGCCCTCAGTAAATATATTTTGGATGGATGGACAAATGAAAGGATTAGCTGGCCACCCTGGAATGACCCAAATCTAGTTTATGGATTGAAATAGGAGCCATCTAGACATGGTCTTCTTTCCCTCTTCAGGAAAATGAGAAAAGAGAAAGGATACTCTGTCTGTTTCAGTGTTTTCCTGACATACTTTCTTCCGAAAAATCATGACTGGTACATATACAAATGGGTCCCTGAGGCACGCTGTTCCTGTCAGTCATTTCTGTGACCACATCTGTTCTCATAGATGTTATATACAGTACCTATGTGCACTTTAAAAAAAAAAAGATTTTTTTAATCAAGATGTTTTACTGCCATGTGCCAGAAAAGTGTTACTGTAATTATATAAATCTATGATGACAACAATATGAGTAATACCCTCTAGGATTGTGTAGCGCACAGCCTGTACCATTGTACATGGTGGCCGGACAGTCTACATTTGCCTACAGAGGTTGTACTCACCTGCGGGGTTCTGCTTTGGAAAGCAGTGAGGATACATCAGTCATTTTTCTTGACTTTGCCAGTAAGACATGAAGAACAGAACAGCCAGTAGGCAACCTACTTTCCAATCCTCCTGGATTAGCATGGGGCACGTGGTAGGGCTCACTTGGCATATGAAAGAATAAACAAACACGTCATTGGCTCAAAAAGGACCTGGAAGAAAATGAGTGGACATTGAAAAACCTGGAAGTGGTTGAAGTTTCCGAGCACTGATGTCCCTCTCTGTCCCTTTCTGTACGCAGTGGTACATCAATGGGGTGAATTATTTTACTGACCTGTGGAATGTCATGGACACGCTGGGGCTTTTTTACTTCATAGCAGGAATTGTATTTCGGTAAGTAGTCTCATCGCTTTTCTTAATTTTTGGTGTTTTGAGTATAAAAGTGGAGAAAAGCTCTGCAGACATTTCAAACCCAAGGGAACCCTATTTTGTTTTGCTTCCTCACTAGGGATTATTATAGAAGGCCATTGTGTCTGCTTTTTAGAGCTACCGCTTGGTTGGCATGAAGTTGAGTCTCCTCTCTTTCCCCTCCCAGTGATATGTAATTTAAAGGGGTCATGCATGATTTTTCTCTTTGTTCTTATGGACTTTGGGGATAATTTTTTTTTTTTTTTTTTTAAGTAGAGATGAGGTTTCATCATGTTGCCCAGGTTGATCTCAAATGCCTGGGCTCAAGCAATCCACCTACCTCAGCCTCCCAAAATGCTGGGATTACAGGCATGAGCCACTGCACCTGGTCATGGGGAGATATAAATAGAAATTGAGAAATGCTACTGATTAGTGTATATTGATTTTGTATCCTGAGACTTTACTGAAGTTGTTTATCAGTTCCAGGAGTCTTTGGACAGAGTCTTCAAAATTTTCTAGGTATAGAATCATATTATTGATGAAGAGAGGTAATTTGACTTCTTTTCCTATTTGGACACCTTCTATTTCTTTCTCTCGTCTGATTCCTCTGGCTAGGACTTCCAGTACTATGTTGAATAGGAGTGGTGAGAGTGGACATCCTTGTCTTGTTCCATTTATTAAGGGGAATGCTTCCAGCTTTTGCCCATTCAATATGACATTGGCTGTGAATTTGTCATAGATGGTTTTTATTATTTTGAAATCTGTTCCTTCAACGCTTAGTTTGTTGAGGTGGGCATGGTGGCTTATACCTGTAATCTCAACACTTTGGGAGGCTGAGGTGGGAGGATCGCTTGAGCCCAGGAGTTCGAGACCAGCCTGAGCAACATAGTGAGACCCTGTTTTAATGTTTTATTAAAGATAAAGCTAGCGATTATATATGAGTAGTACTTTCAGGTGGCATCACTTGTTTTTTTTTAAATCGTGAAAGGATGTTGGCTTTTATTGAAAGCTTTTTCTGCATCTATTGAGGTGATCATATAGATTTTGTTTTTAATTCTGTTTATGTAGTGAATCACAATTTTGATTTGCATATGTTGAACCAACCCGGTAGCGAGCATAGTACCCAATAGGCAGTGAGCCTACCCAGTAGGTAGCCATGTCTTTCTCTTTTCCCCCTTTTGGAGTTCCCAGTGTTTATTATTCCCATCTTTATGTCCATATGTACTCAGTGTTTACCTTCCACTTGTATGTGGTATTTGGTTTCCTGTTCCTGCATTAATTCACTTAGCATAATGGCCCTGAGCTGCATCCATGTTCTTTTTTAGGGCTGTGTAGTATTCCACAGAGCGTATGTATCACAGTTTCTTTATCCAGTCTACCATTGATGGGCATCTAGGTTGGTTTCATGTCTTTGCTATTGTGAATAGTGTTGCAATGTACATATGAATGCATGTGTCTTTTTGGTAGAACAACTTATTTTCTTTAGGTATGTACTCAATAATGGGATTGCTGGCTTGAATGGTAGTTGAAACTATTTTAAAAAAGGAAAGATTGAAGAGAGGAGAGGATGCTGAGAATGTTAAATATCATACAGTATTGTTTCATGTTGGGCCATATGATTTTCTAATATGCATTTAACTTTGATTTGAATGCTGGCTGTGGAGTCTGCCTTTCCAGTTACAAGAATATTTCCTCAATGTCACAGCCAGAGTGTGGGATTAGGAAAGCCAATCCCAAATTACCACCAAAAAACCAATGTGTATTGCTCATCATAGAGATTAGGGTATGCCCCAAACCATGGCTTGCATTGCTTAGCCTGCATCCCAACTGGCCTGTGTTCCCCAGATAGCTTTTAAGATAAAGCTAGCAACTGGGCATGGTGGCTTATACCTGTAATCTCAACACTTTAGGAGGCTGAGGTGGGAGGATCGCTTGAGCCTAGGAGTTCGAGACCAGCCTGAGCAACATAGTGAGACCCTGTTTTAATGTTTTATTAAAGATAAAGCTAGCGATTATATATGAGTAGTACTTTCAGGTGGCATCACTTTGTAAAGAAGCTTAACCATTCATATTTACACTTATGCAGAATGAGATGATTTACAATGAGTGTTCATGCTCCAATTTGAATGGGGTAAAAATGTCAATTTCCTCTTCAGAGAGCCCCCCTTTCTGGTTGGGTTTAAGGTTCCAACATTTGAGCCACAGTTGGTTGGACACAATTCTAGACCATTCCAGTTAGAAAGCACATATGGCTTTCAATGAGCACATTAGCAGGTGGTTAGCTAGTCAAATGATCTGGTGCAAATGAGGTAAGTTTCATTAGGGGAAAGCTGGCAGGGTGAAGTCCCAAGTGGTCATGGGGGTGGGCTGGGGATTGGCATCGTTATAGAAGCCTTGTGAGCCAGGGAAGTTAGCAATAATGCAATTAGGTTCCTGCAGCAGTGTATGAAGATGGCAGGCTAAAGAGATGGGAACTTCTGAGAGCTCAGTTTGGTGAGCTGTCTTTGCTTTTCATGTCTTTTCATGTCCTTGACTGTCCTTGAGTCCATGAAAGCAGAAGATCTTGGCCTTTGCTGGGTGGCATTTCTGGCCTATTTTCACTCACTCAACCTTCCAGCTCTTGCCTGTTTCTTGAAATTTGGTTATATTTAAAAACCAAACTTTGGAATGTTTTGTTAATATCTCATGAATTCTGTTCCCTCTTTTTCCCTAGGCTCCACTCTTCTAATAAAAGCTCTTTGTATTCTGGACGAGTCATTTTCTGTCTGGACTATATTATTTTCACTCTAAGATTGATCCACATTTTTACTGTAAGCAGAAATTTAGGACCCAAGATTATAATGCTGCAGAGGATGGTAAGAGTCAAGAATATTTGTAGTCATCATTTTTCTTGCTGGGCCCAGAGTTCCTTCAGTTGTTGATAGGAGGATTTTGTCCTTAGAATGACTGTTGCATTTCACAATTGGTAACATTTACTTTCTTTGATGTATTTCATCAGGGGCCTCTCCCAGGTTAAAATTTAATGAAAGATGGTTGTGAGGAGCAAACATTGTCATTCGGTGCATTGCTAACAAATAACCTCACACTTATTTGGATTTTACACTTCACAGCATACTTTCATTTGAGTCTTGACAGTTTGCTAAGAGTGTAGGCAGGGAATGGATTTTCATACCAATTTTATACATGGGGACAGTTGAGTCCAAGGAGGACTATGCTTGTCTTGAGAAAAGCAGTGAGCTAGATGCATAGGGATGATTGGAACCCGAATTATGCAACCATGTAATATAGACATAGGGAAAGGCTATAGCAGGCTTGTTATATACATGTAATAGAAAGAATTACATACCGATGGTGTTGCTTTCCTGAACTTGTTTTCCAGATGACTCAAACCACCACTGTTTCTGCCTTTAAATCAGATGGGCGTTTGGATGAGCTCATCTGGAAGCTCTTTTCCAACACTGAGATTGAGTTTGTGGTTTTAATTCAAAGCATTTCTGGGACATCCAGTCACCATGAAGTCATGCTATATGTGCACAAAATTAAAAAAAAAAATTAAACTGTCTTTTCTTGTCTAGTAAGGATAGCTTTTATTTACCCAACAAACAAACAACAAAAATAATTTAGGGGTTACAAGGGCATTAAAATCATGAGATATAGAGACCGAGAGGTCCTCCAAAACTTAGATTCCTCCTTTGCTCTAGAGCTGGCCTCCCACTCAGAAAGCTGTTGTTGCTGGGCTGGTTTGGAGAACAGCAGGCAAAAACGCATCAAACTGGTTTTAAGTCTGGAGGACAGATGTCTTAAGATCCAGAGAGGATGATGACCACTTTTGTCAATTAGTCCGTGAACTCTGGGTGACTTAGATGCTCTGAGCCCTGGAACTGCCGCCCTTCTCCATGGTCCACTGAGGATGGCCAGGCCGGGGGACTCCTGACTGTGGCTGCAGTCCTGACTCTGCTCTCCTGTCTTCCCCTAACAGCTGATCGATGTGTTCTTCTTCCTGTTCCTCTTTGCGGTGTGGATGGTGGCCTTTGGTGTGGCCAGGCAAGGGATCCTCAGGCAGAATGAGCAGCGCTGGAGGTGGATATTCCGCTCGGTCATCTACGAGCCCTACCTAGCCATGTTCGGCCAGGTGCCGAGTGATGTGGACGGTAAGCCTGACTTGGCTCAGGTGGAAACAGTTGGGAGGAGGCAGTTGCTCCCTGGACCAATGTCCAGGGCTGCCCCGGAGACCACACTTCAGAAGCATGCACGTGAAACAGCCCAATGCCACAGAGTAAAAACGAACTCCTGGACACCTCTTCTTTGCCCTTAGGCAAGATTTTACATCAGCCTTGCAGATGGTGACTAAGATTTCAATTTTTAAATCTTTTTAAAACGAGTGATTCTGATATTTTCAGTAGCAATGTGGCAATTGAGGGCAACAAGATTTACTAGTTTAGAAATGAGAATTTTGAGTTGTACTCACTGATATAACAGAGTGACTGGTTTCCCATTTCTTTCAAAAAGAGCAACATTGGAAAATCCACATTGGAACCTGGAATTTAGACTTCCAGCATTAGTTAGCCCACTGCCAACTGGTTTTTGGAGGGAGGCTGATGGTGGCACAGATGGCTTTAATTTGCTCACACCCAATTTGCATAAGGAAAGTGAGGGGCTATGTAAATTGGGTGTGTTTTGGGTGGACCAGCTGAAGCATCTTCAGATGCTGACAATAGTCATGGCTTGTCATTTCCTATCCTGCCGTGATAAAACCATCCTGATGGTTTCCTTGAGCCAGAGCCTGCTCCTCCTGGTCACATTTCTCTGTTCCTGTTGTTTTCTCTGTTATCTTCCTGGCCTCATAAGTCTCTCTGGCCCCATCTGCTGAAGCGCTTTCCAAGACCTTAGAAACAGCTATTTTCCCCTGCAGCAGTGGAAAGGCACCTTGGTATTATCACACCCAGTCTGCACACCATGCCTGTCACTTTACAGAAACAGATGCATTTCATCCTCATGACAGCCCTCCACATCCACAGTTTTAGTCTCACGGGGATCTAAAGAGGAAGTGGCATGCGGGGTTCAGAGCCAGGGTAGCCACTCAGGTGCTGTGTGCCCCCAGGAAGAGACTCCACCTTGCTGTCTCTGTTTCATGGGCAAAACTGAGAACACACCGTCTTCTCTACAGGGTCTCTCACTGGCTGGCGTGACCCCACACGTGCTCAGATGAGGATCTCTGGCACAGAGAAGGTCTCTGAGGCCAGACGTTTGTACCCACTGCCCTGTCCTCTGAGACTTCTCAGACGCACCTTGGCACATCCTAATAAAAGAGTCTTGATGCCCCTTCCAGACCCAGACTCCCCCCAGTGTCCCCTTGTGAGGGTCTGCTGCCATCATCCACTCAGTTGTGTGAACACAGCTGTCAGAAGCCTCAATGTCATCTTTAGCACCGTTAACACCTTGGATTTCATTCCCTCCTGTTCAATTCATCCATTAGTTTTGTTTATTTTTATCTCCTAACATTTTTTTTTTTTGAAATCTGCTCTTTTTCCATCACCACTGCCACCCCCCCGAAGCCATCCTCATCGCTCGCCTGCCTGAATCTTAGGCATGACCTCCTTACCTTCCCTCCCCTCGGGCCCCTTCTGATCTGTGCTGCAGCCAGCACGATTCTTTGGTAAAGGAAATCTAATGTGTCATTCCTCTGCTTAAAACAGCCTCATGTCCAGTCTGTCGGGGGGAAAGAGGGGAGGGACAGCAGCGGGTGGGGAGTTGGGGAGAGATAGCATGGGGGGAAATGCCAGATATAGGTGATGGGGAGGAAGGCAGCAAATCACACTGCCATGTGTGTACCTATTCAACAATCTTGCATGTCTTTCACATGTACCCCCAAACCTAAAATGCATTAAAAAAAACCCCAGCCTCACCGCCTCCTATCTCTTCAGTGTAAAGATTTTAAAAGTAGGCCAGGCATGGCAGCTCATGCCTTTAATCCCAGCACTTTGGGAGGTTGAGGCAGGCGGATCACCTTGAGATCAGGAGTTCGAGACCAGGCTGCTTGTGGCCCTGGGGATGCCATTGCTCTCACACCTCTACGGGGTCCTCACTTTGCCTCTTGGTTTCTTTCTACATTCTCAGGTACCACGTATGACTTTGCCCACTGCACCTTCACTGGGAACGAGTCCAAGCCGCTGTGCGTGGAGCTGGATGAGCACAACCTGCCCCGGTTCCCTGAGTGGATCACAATCCCCCTGGTGTGCATCTACATGCTATCCACCAACATCCTGCTGGTTAACCTGCTGGTCGCCATGTTTGGGTATGTGCTCAGTCACGTGTTCACTGATGTCCACCCTGGGCCAGGCCCCATGACAGGCTGGAGGTGCTGTGAGCATAGCAGCAATGGTCCTATCCTTGAGGAACACACTTTAGAGGTCTTTTGGGGATTGGTAGACTAGAGGGGGTGGGACTTCTTTTCTTTTTTTTTGCAACAGAGTCTCGCTCTTTTGGCGAGGCTAGAGTGCAGTGGCACAATCTCGGCTCACTGCAACCTCCGCCTCTTGGGTTCAAGCGATTCTCCTGCCTCAGCCTCCTGAGTAGCTGGGACTACAGGCACATGCCACCACACCAAGCGAATTTTTGTATTTTTAGTAGAGATGCGGTTTCACCATGTTGTCCAGGATGGTTTTGATCTCTTGACCTTGTGATCTGCTCACCTCGGCCTCCCAAAGTGCTGTGATTACAGGTCTGAACACTGCACCCCGCCTAGGGTGGGACCTTTTTAAAGGGATCATATTAAAAATACAGGGTGTGCTTGTAAGCTGTGCATTGAGTTTTTGACCCTGAAGACAAGCATCTGTGACAATCTCCATCAAATGCAGACTGCCTATTTGACATCCATTTGGCAAGCTCTTTGGAGTTCCATGATGTTGGTGACAATATCACCCATTGGTGACAGAAACATAGTTCAACTCATCTCCAAGGTGCCTTATATATTATGGGGCTCAGTGTTATGGATTCTGGGATTTACAGGACTCAGACTTTAGTTAGTTTAAAATTTTCAGTTTAAATTAAAATACAAAGAGCAGAGATTGGAGAGTGACTCTCCTTTAGGGCTCACGCCTAATGAGGTTGGAGGGAATAATATGATGACTTTAAAATATGTTTATTGGCTTTGGTAATTCTCCTTATGTATTTAGAAAATGAAGTTTTTCATTTCCTCTCCATGTTTCTTAGGAGGGTTTCAAAGAGCCCCAGTGGTAGTTGGAGAGCCTTAGTTTTATATTGTTCCTTTAAAGTATATCAGCATTTTAAGTACATGAATCCCATCGCAGTCAGAAAGACAATTAACCAACAAATATGCACATTTAAGAGAGAATTTGTTAAATCTTGGGGTGGGAGGATAGCGCTGAATGAGAAGATAAACATATTTGATTATATAAAACAATTTTTAAGGTAAGATATACCTCTAATGAAGTCAAATAAAATAAATCATAAATCAGGGGAAATATTTGCAATTTTGCATATGACGAACAAAGGCTTTTATTTCCTAATACAGAAAGAGCTCCTCCAAGTTTACAAGAAAAAGACAACCCTGTAGAAAACTTGTCAGAGAAACCGAACAAACAATTCAGAGAAAGAAATGTCAAATGGCCAATAATCATATAAGAAGGACTCTCAATCTTGTAGATAGGCAAGTTCAGATTGAAACAATGAAATGCTGTTCTGAGCCCAGGAGATGAGCGAAAGTTAAAGGGAGTCTCTGATGTTGGGATGATGCTGGAAAATGGACATGGCTACTGGGAACCTGAATTGCCTCCCATTCTTAGGAAAGTAATTTGAAAATAGTCATGCAAACCTTTGTCAAACTCTTTCACATCTGGGAATCTATCCTCACGATGTATATAGGAAGATGTTTATTGGATTACTGTTTGATGTCTATCACAAGGGAATGGTCAAAGAAAGTGTGGTATATCCACAGTATGGAATATTATGCAGCTCTTAAAGAGACAAAGTATGATCTATATTTATTAACTTGAAAGGCTGATATTTGTTAAATATAAAAAGCAAATTTCATGGCCAGGTGTGGTGGCTCACACCTGTAATTCCAGCACTTTGGAAGGCCAAAGTGGGTGGATCACCTGAGGTCAGGAGTTTGAGACCAGCCTGGCCAACATGGTGAAAGCCTGTGTCTATTAAAAAACAAATACAAAAATTAGCCAGGCATGGTGGTGCATGCCTGTAGTCCCAGCTATTCAGGAGGCTGAGGCAGGAGAATTCAGGAGGCAGAGGTTGTGGTGAACCAAGATTGCGTCACTGCACTCCAGCCTGGGAGACAGAGCAAGACTCTAGCTCAAAAAAAAAAAAAAAAAAGGAAATTGCAAATTAATTTTATGGTATAATATTGTTTTCTAACAATAAAAACAAGAACATAATAAAAATCAAGTATATATTTCAGTGGTTACAATGATCACACATTATATTCATAATTAAGAAAAGAATATAAGGAAAGACAATTGTCAAATAGAGCCCTGATATTCCTAGATGCCCAAGGTCTACAGATGGGGGTCACCTGCCTTATTTGGCCTGTGGCCTCCCTCTGAGCAGGGCTGTGTGAAAGCACATACCTCTGGGGAACCTCACAGACTGAGCAGTGTGTGGCCATCTGGTCTCCCACTGTCCAGAGACGTCCTTCTCTAGTCCACTCCAGTCTTCTCTACACTGTGACCAAAAGTGATGTTTCTAAAACATTACTATGACGGTTTAGCTGTGTCCCCACCCAAACCTCATATTGAATTGTAGCTCCCATAATTCCCTTGTGTTGTGGGAGGGACCTAGTGGGGGATAAGTGAATCATGGGGGAGGTTTCCCCCATTCTGTTCTCATGGTAGTGAGTCTTACGAGATCTGATGGTTTTGCTTGGCTCTCATTCTCTTTGCCTGCTGCCATCCATGTAAGAGGCGATTTGCTCCTCCTTGCCTTCTGTCATGATTGTGAGACCTCCTCAGTCACGTGGAACTGTGAGTCCATTAAAACCTCTTTCTTTTGTGAATTGCCCAGTTTTTGGGTATGTTTTTATTATCAGCATGAAAATGGACGAATACAGTTATTGTTCTGCTTAAAATTCTGGAAGGATTTCAGTATTTCCCTACAGCATTCTGGATAAGTTTCAGGCTTCTCAGCTTCCTACCGTCTTCATCCCCTGCCCTCTGTCGCCTGGCAGGACTTCGATATGTTCGTCCTTAAACAGGGTGACGCGTTATGCCTGATGCTTTGCACGTACTTGTCCTCCATCTGGATTGCCTGTTCCATCCCAAACTTCTCCTCCTGCCCAGTTCCTGCTTGCTCTTTACAGATCCAAGGATCGCCTTTTGCCAAAGTGGTACCTGATGGCCTCCCCAGTTCACGTAGAGACTCTTTGAGCCCACGTGACATTCTTTAACTTGCATAGTGACAATCTTCTCTCCTTGCGGACGGTGAACTCTGGAGGATGAAGATCAGCACCTGGCACTTTGTGGGTTTATTCAAAGAATTAAAAAAATGGATTCTCATCCATGTTTAGTTCATTGTTTAGTTATTAGTTATGAGCTTAGCTTTCTAGTGTATTGTATACTGAGACGCATCAATGGCGAGTAACATATCAGTAAGAGAATCATCAGGTAAATGTTTAACATCTGCTGTGTGCCAGGTGCCTGGGCCATGAAGATTATGTGGGTGCTAGTTCCATGTGGCCCTACAGAGGGAAGGTGAAACTATCTCCCTCATCACTGGGTTGGTGGCCAGGACTTGGGGATCCAGAAGCCTGTGTGACTCACAGGCAGCCAGGCCAATGTCATGATGTCCAAATGGTATCCAAACATCAGAGGAGGCCAACAACTGAGCTGCAGAGAGAAGCAGCAGGTGAGGGGTGATCGTGTTTCCACATGAGAGGGAGAAAAAGCACACCAATCCCGAAACATGAAGCAAAGGCGAGGGGGACATGGGATGGCTGCAGGCCTTACTTTATGGTGATAAGATATCATAGCTATGCTGGAAATTCCTGTAAGAACTTATCACCAACTATATTTACAGACATTAGACAAAAAGACCAACAGCTCCTAAAGCCATGGCCTTTGAGCTATGCTGACTTAATACATCTCAGCAAGGTACATGGTAGAATATTTAGAGCTGTCTTCAATCGATGCACTGTGAGCTGTCCGAAGCTGTGGTACTTTTGTAATCCATTACCTGCATTTGGATCATGAAATGATTGAATTGGGAGCTGAGCGGGATGGGAGCCTCATCTGTCACTTTCAGATGAAGGAGATGAAGTTCCAACAGCTCAGCGTCTGTGGTCCTGGCCATGTGTTATCTGGCTTAACTCGGGTCTCTTCCTCATGAGGCCAGAGCCACTGCATCACATCCCACTGTTGTCCCATTCGGTGCTTAAGTGTGACAACTTGTGACACCCCTTCCCTTGGGGAGCCTCCTCGATTAGCCCCAGCTTAAACCAGAGGCCCTTTCCTTGCTAACTCCAGAACAGCAAGAGACGCTGCGTTGTGATCCTTGGGTTAAATCCTTGGAGCACCATTTCTGATCATTGTTAAAGTTGTTCAGGGCTTACTCTGCAAGCAGATGGCCCAGGCTTGACCCTTCCCTGGCACCACATCAAAATATTCATTTAAAAGCTTAACCGTACACAATGGCAACCTTATTAACTGCAATGCAAATGCACTCTTGGGAATTCTGAGGGAGTATTGGAGTGCTCTCTAGATGGTATTCAACAGAGAAAGGAAATGGATGTGAACATCTGTGATTATTCTACACTAAAATTATCGATCACAGGCCCTGTGTGGCTTATCAGAGTCAGGAAGTGAACTTAAAGTCAGCAAATGACTCCAGGTCTACCTACCAGCAGCTAGGGCAATTACAAGCATTGTATCCTTAAGATCAGTTTACCCCATGCAGTTCCAAAAAGGACTTGTCAAACATATCTTGATGTAGAATAATTTCTAACAATGTTTTTTAATCTTAGGAATAATATAAACATGCAGAAAAGTGGAAAGAAGAATATAACGACCCAATACAAACTAAAGGGTTGAGTGCTGTGTGAACAGTCTAAGGGAGGTTACTGAATTGGGGTGAAAAGAATAAAAAGAAGAGTGCAGATAATTGTTATAGTAACAATAGCTAATATTTATTGAAGCTTTCCCATGCTGGGCACAGGTTCAAGTGCCTTACAGGGGTCACCTCATTTAATGATTACTCATTTTTGTGTAGGTGTGTAGCTGGTGGGCTAGTTCAGGTTCTTGACTTGAGGACAGAAAATAATTTGAAAGT